TATATTATTTTATGAAATTCAGAGTTAAACTTATAATTGTTTTCTGGTCAAATTTAATTCAGTAAAATTTTGAGTTTGAGTTTTTCTGTTGTGTGGATTCTACCTAAGTTGATCAACGCTTAATTAGCTAAGTTGTAATTAATCAGTTAACAGGTAAATGATTAATCATTGAATTAGTTTAAAAAAATAATTTGTTTTAATCAATTGTTTTATCTCTTTTTAAAATGTTCTTAATTTTTTTTATTGAATTAGGGGAGAGAACTACGTACCACGTTACTCTCACAAAATCAAAATAATTGAGTTAATTAATTAATTAACTTATAAAATACAGATAAAATTCAAGTTAAAAAGAAATATACATATAACTTTATTTTTATTTTTTTTATTGAATCGGATTTTTTTATTATAATTATTAACCAAAAGGAAAAAAAAACTGGTATGGTGCCAATATTTTTATTATTACAAATACATTCAACCTAATTGTACGAAATATTAAATTAACAAATTGAACCATTCGAGACGTTAGAAAGTACCAACAAAATAAGAATCGAGACGTTAGACTTATTCAAACTATAATCTTTTAATATATATATTTTTTTCAAACAGCAACTTCAATTTTTATTTATTCATTTTTTTATATTTTTAAACTGGTCTGGATTTATCATCGAAAAACAAAACAAGTGGGCTTTATGACATATACTTAAATATTATAAATTAAATTAATCATAAATAATGTTTCACAAAGTAATTTTCCCCTTTTATAATTATTTCCCTTTAAAAATATAAATGTTTCATATATATATATATATATATATATATATATATATATATTAAATAATTAAGTATCGATATTTTACATTAATCTTTAGTATTTTCATTAGTTTAAATGAACTAATACATTAATGTACGATAAAAGAGTAATTAATTAATATATTTATATATTTTTAATATCAAAGAAAAATAATATTTTATTTTCTTAATTTTATAACTAGAGCAACTATATTGTAAAGTATCCATCATAAAAACTAGAGCAATTATTATTTTAAAGTGGAGGAAATAATGGATCATGTATATATATTATTAATTTTAACGTATGTATGATGTATGACATGTCATGAGAATACAAAATAGGATGTATATTTATTTCCTAATGTTTGAGTTATGTATAAAAAAATGTAATTAAAGAGTATTCCAAGATTAGTTAGTTATTAAAAAAATTTATCAACAAATGATATTATTGATAAAAAAAAAACCCATAAATATAGTATTCGTTTGGTGCAGAGCATTAATGGATTTGACATTCAATTATTTTAACTTCTCATAATCGTTTCATAAATTTTGACGCAATCAACAATCTCCAAATACAAAAAATTAGTACTATAAATTAGTTCAGTAATTGGTACTATAAATCCAAAAAATTGGTTCAGTATGTGATTTTTTGGATTAATACTATAAATTAGTACTATTAAGAAGTAGGCATGGGCGTGGCGCCCGCCCGACTTTTTAACCATCTCCGTCCCAGTTCCCGATCCCTGCAGGGTTAAGATTAAGTCCCATCCCTGTCCCATCGGGTTTTGGGTTCCCGCCACGCCTCTGCCCGTCCCCAATTTATATTATTTTTAAAAAGATAATTATATTTATAATAAATTAATTTTACTATGTATTTTTATATATAAATAAATATTTATAATTTATAGTTATTATTAATTAAATATACATTTTAATTTATTATATTTATATTAAAATATATATGTAAAAGAAATATTTAATTATTTTTTATTTATATATATATATATATATATAATATTTATAACATTATTATTATTATTATTATTATTATTATTATTATTATAACACTGTATTCAAATATTTGAATATTTATAACATTATTATTATAATACTTGCATTCAAATATTTAATTATACATATAAGTTAATTCATTTTTAAGTTGTCAATATATAGTTTATAAGAAAATATTTAATAAGTTAATTCTTATTTAATTAGTTTGAAGTAATAAAAGTTTAAATTATTAATTTCTTTTAATCCTTTAAAATGCAATTATTTTATTAAGATAAAATTTGATATATGATAAATAAGCATAATAAGATAAAAAAATATGGCATAATAAATATAAATTATAAATAAACTAATATTAGTTACTACTAAGATTGATGGAAAATATTTAGAAAAAGATAAATAAAAAAGATTAACTTTGTGTTCATCAAATTGGTTGAAAAGATTGAAAAAAAAAACAAATTGATGGGAAAGACTAAGAAAATGTGAAAAACTGAAAGATAAGGGAGAGAATAATATAATAAATTAATTGATATAAAAGATTGAGAAAGATAAAAAAAATTAAAAAGTGGGTAGAAGAAAAATAAAAATTGGTGAAATATAAAAAAATAACCTTATATGTAATAGAAAAGAAAATGAAATATTTTTAAAATATTAATATTTTAAAATTTAAATTTAAATATAAAGTCGGGACGGGACGAGGCGGGGTCGGGGTGGGGATTGCATTACCCATCCTCGCCTCGCCCGACTTTTTAAAGCGGAAAACCCGAACCCGACCCCGCTCCCGGTCAACTCGGGGTTTCCCCGTCAAACTCAGGGCGGAGATGGGTCGGTCCCCACGAGTACGGGTTTAATTGCAAGAACGTAATAACATTATCCTGGTTTGAGTATATTTTGTTTAGGTAAAACGGAGCCACAAATTCAATTTGAAAGAGTCAAGAAATTAATACTTATATATTAAATAAAAAGTTTATGTACAAGTGAAAATTGATATTTAGAAAGACTTTTTGTTGTTATTGAGGGTTATATATAGATATTTATTCTTCATAATAATGCTTTTTACACGTCCATTTTTATTACTACGTTTACAATATTTTTTGTTCCAATCAAAATTATTTTTTTACTAAAATCATATGGATTAAGCATTATTTTAACAGAGGTATCTTCACAATCAACACAAACGATCATTTGCTCATCACATGTAATATATTTTACTAAAAGAGAAAAAAAAAAGGGAGATTGTATCATTATTAGAAAATGTTGTAATTGAAATGATTTTTTGAGTTTGTTATGAGATATTATTATATTAATTTGAAAAAGGAAGGTGGTAATTGAATTTGAATAGTGGTTTGGGTAGGGTGGCATGAAGGGGAATTAAGCAGTGGACAATGAAAATGGTTGAACCATAAAAGCAGCCACGTGTGTGGAAGGATCTCCATCAATCTATGTATCTGCACACCATTTCTTTATTTATGAAACAATGTACTCACAAATGCACTCTGCCACACCACGCCCTCACCATCCTTCCACCAATCAAAAAATCTTACCTCAAATACAAAAAACAACACCATTTTTAAAACCTCTACAATGAAAATGCTCTAATTGTGAGAAGAAGCCCTAGTTGTAATTTGATGGTGGGCACAGGGGCATTTCAATTAACCTAAAATCTCTCCCACAGTTTCAAGGGCCCCACTTTTTGTCTGCTCCTCCATTAGCCAATTAAAATCACTTTTTTTCAACTCTCTACTCTTAGGATGGAAAATTATTTAATACTACTAATCACTTAATTACTCCTAATTCAGACTTAACAACCAGTTTAGAAAAAAGGTTACATTTGTCAACTTTATTATTGTTGGAGTCCGATACACATCTTTATAAACCAAATCTTATTGCCATGGTTATGCTCGTAGAGGACTAAATAATCAATTTTTTCAATTTATTAAAAATTAAGACACTACAAGTATATTTTATTTTTTAATAATAAATGTATTTGTTTAGCACTCTTATATTAATATGGATTGTTCATCAAGCAATGTAATAATTAAATAGAGTGTAGCATCAACATTATTGAGTTATTAAATTAGTACAGTTACTACACTTATTTTCAGAAAAGATCAATATGCAATACAATTACTCGAACCTTTAACTACATCACTTAATTCAAAGAGAAATACATTTATTTTAAACTGATAAATTTACGTTTAATGTTAATTATTAAATCACCTTATTCATATTTTTTAATATTTATAAAGATAGAAATAGATAAGTCAAAGTAAGAATCTAATACAAAATAATCTGTCATCCGTAATAGCTACATTACTCAAGCTAACAAATTTAAAATATTAGTTATGCCATATAGAGGCTATTGTTTTTTTTTTTTTAATAATGGTTAATTATAACTACACCAAAAAATATGTAATAATTTAATAATGGAAAATTTCTTAAATTATAGGTTCTTTCCTATTAAATTTATTTGAAAAAGGTAATAATTTAAAACTGTTAATATATATACATACATATATATGTCTAAATGTTAAAATATTAAATAAGACTAATAATATGGATACTTATTCTGAAATTTCAGTTACCCTTTAATAATAATATACAGTATGTGATATGATATTTGATTATTATTGATATGCTTAGCCAAAAGTAAGGAAGGTGGAGAGAATCTAGAAATGGCCATTTCTTTGTGATAAATAAAAAAAAATATATTCTGAAAAAAAAACAGCCTTAAAATAATTTTGAATTTTATATAAATGGTAAAGGAAGTTTAAGAGAGAGAAAGAGAGAGAGGAGTGATGAAAAAGCAGAGAATAAAAAGAGACCGGATGTTGACAAATTTCATGTCACTGTTCTTAGAAGGTCGTTTGTTTGTGTGAAGATTTCTTATCTGGGATCTCTCTCTTTAAAAATGTTTCTCTCTCTAAAAAAAAAGGTCCATTCTTTCTTCTCCTAATTGTGTGAGTGTTTTTGAGAGAGAAAGAGAGAGAAGGAAGAGTGGCTGGCCCAGCAGATCGAAATCTCCTCCTTTTCTTCAACCTGATGACGATCTAAGCTCCTTCAATGGAGTTGCAACAACACCCTCTTTGCTATTTTGTCTTATAATTGTTATTGGTTTCAGTTCTAGTTACCCTTTTGGGCTTCAAACAGTGGGAGACTAAAAAGCTCTGAATTTTCTCTCTCTAATTGTGTTGGTGCCTTGAATGGTGGAATCTCTGTGGGATTCTTCAAAGGAGGTGTTTAGAGGATGTGGGTCTGAGGTAAATTTGCTTTTACTCTCTGTGGATATTTTTCTATTAATCTATGTAATTATGTATGCATATATTTTTTTTACTTGGCGAATTTTGGTTTTGTTGTTTTATGTCCGGTTCTTTTTTGACTGTGACGAAAGTTGAAAATTGAAGCTAGAAAATTCCTTGGATTCTATTGTTTGGGGGATTGTTATTCCAATGAACTCCGGCGCACAACTGTTTTCATTTTTAATTAGGCTTTGAATTTTGTTGATGGAATGTTCTGATACTTAATTTTAGGCTTTCAAAAGCTTCTTCAGGTTGAAAGCGTACGCTCTTGGTTCAGATTATTGCTGTATTGGATCTGTATAATTGAGTTTTTTCACTCACTTGTCCTGCGTTTCGTCTTTCAATTTTCTGCATCTGGAGTCTGAATTGAAGTGACGGACCAGTGTTCCCCAAAATTGTGGGCGACTTTATGATTTGTCCTGTTTGTAATTGCTCTGGATATTTTTCATCAACTATTTGCATAGGCTTTGGAGTGCAAATTTCCGAGGCCTGATTAATTGGTGAAGTTTGAATGTGTTTCATGCATCTGAAAGCATTGATAAAACTCGTGTTATAGAAAGTCGTCTACTTTGCCAAGATTTAGATTTATTGAAATCACTTGTGCTTGTGCTCCTTTTATGTATATTTCAATAACTTGTAAACCTTTTCCATGTTTCTACCAAATGTGGTTTTGCGTATTTGGTTACTACTGCCATGGAGTGATTATTACTTGCATGGTAACGGTTGTGTTCAACTGTCCTAGTTGACCTATGGCATTCTTGGTCAAAGTTTTCAGCAACAAAATATTCGAATACTCTGAGAATCTAGTGGATATTCAATAATGAAGTGTTTCCGAATTGGGGTAAATGAGGCCATTTTATATTGTTCTGATTGTTGCGTTAGATTGACTTTAATTCAAATTTATAATTGCATTGTTAGTGAATCGTGGGAGGTTCGCCGGTCAACTGTTGTTGTTGGTTTGTCATTGCAATAATAATGATCCCCATTATAATTCCTTTGATGTGTCAAAGTAAGCAGTAGAGTAACGGTAATGCATTTACGCGTTCAGCAGCGTAAAATCCTCTCATCATCGGTGTTGTATTCCTATCTGCAATCCCAAGTATTGGTAATTTGTAAATTCTCAATTGGTTATGGCAATGTGAACTAGTAGTTATGTCCCTATTATAAATTGACTTTAAATTTATCATTGCATCTTTAACAAATAGTGAGGGGTTTGCTGGTCAACGGTTATGTTGGTTTGTCTTAACAATAGTAATGATCCCTATTATAAATCCTTTTGTGTCGAAGTAACGACTAGTGTAACGGTAATGCATTTATGCATTCAGCGGCATATAATCCTCTATTCAAGGGTGTTGCATTTCTATCTGCATGTGAGGTTCATGGGAACAAGTACAAGGGAGGGAATGAAAAGGGTTATACGAAGAGGTTTACTTTGAAGAATCCAATTCTTTGTTTTGACCCCCTTATTTTAAGGGGAAACTGAACTGAAGTGCGGAAAATTCATTCAATTCATTGCTTACCATGTTCATGTTCGTGTGTTGAGAAGTTTACTAAACCATTTTCAATTTTTGTTAAAAAGAAAAGTTTCTGGATATTCAGTTTTTGTGATTCTATGCTGTCATGCCATGTTATGTCCTTAAGTCAGGATTTGTGTTATTCAGTTGTTTGACTGCTTTTTGTTGGTTGGGTTTGGGGTAGTTGATACAGTGCAACATCTTAAATGTTAATTTGTGGTAAAAAACTTATTTGCATGTCACTGATCGATTTATCAGGAATGGGAACCAAAGTCCAGAATCTTCCAGGATATTACTCAATGAGAGATCTTAATGAGGAATCCAGCAGTTGTGGCTGGCCCCTATTTTACGGTGATAAATCGCTCTCAAATGGGCAGTACTATAATAGTTATTTGCCAAGTTCTACGACAGAAGCATGTTCTGCATATGATAAGGATGCTGTGAAGCGGGTGATGCTTGAGCATGAGGCCATATTTAAGAATCAGGTAGGAAACGTAAAGTTTCTAAGGATTCAGTGTTAGTTTGTATGGTGTGGATTCGGTGTTTATGGATTATTAGTCGTGTTAGTTTGTTTTTTCTTGTAATTTTGTTTTCTTTATGCATCTTAGAAATCTCTTTCTTAAAATGTGTTAATTTTCAATTGTTGCAGCGTGTGCTGACAACTTAGTAACTTATCATCACTGTTATGTTGCAAGATTAAGTTTATTCGGTTTTAGATTTCCTTCAACTTAGTTCAAGTGATGGTTTTGTTAAGCTTTATTTGTTTTTGTATGCCATGATTATTGTTGAATATTTAAACTATGTATTTTTCAAGCAGGTCTATGAACTTCACCGTTTGTACAGAATACAAAGGGATTTGATGAGTGAGGTTAAAAGGAAAGAATTTAACAGAAACCAGATACCAGTTGAGGCATCGTTTTCTGCAGGTCAAATGGCATCTCAATTAACTACTGATGCCGGACAAAAATGGCATATTCCTGTGGGAAATTCTACTTGTGCTAAAACATCTGTGTCAGGAGTTGAGGGCATTCATTCTCCTTTGGACTCAACGAAAGGGATCGGCAAACAAACAAGTCCATTTCCATCCCCAAATGGGTGTAGCTCAAAAGATGTTGAGGTGCTTGAGTCTAGACCCTCAAAGGTGAGGAGAAAAATGTTTGACCTTCACCTCCCTGCTGATGAGTACATTGATACAGACGAAAGTGAAAAGCTCAGTGATGAAAAGACAAGTGATCCATCATTCTTTCTTTCTGATAGAAAACGTAAAAATGGAAAGGAGGGTGATGCGGAACATTTTTATGGCAATGGTGAGAAGACTGGCAATCAGCAGGACACTTCAAGATCTGAGCAATCATTAAGGAGAAGGAATGGTTTGGCTGACTTAAATGAACCTCTTCAGGTGGAGGAAACATACAATTCTCCATATGTTCACCTCCTGAACCGTATCCCCTGTCAAGGGGCAGCTGAACGTTCTGATCTCTCTGCCACTGTCAAACAAAAGTCAGAGTATTTTGGTTTATCTAGAGAACAATTGCTCAACTCACATCATGGAACTGACAGTTGGGCTCAACATAATGGTTATTTGGAGAACAATGGGGGTGGAAAAGGGTGGTATCAATCAGTGGCTGGGGCAGGTTAGAGAATGATTTACTATACAGTATACACTTTGTTACCTTGTTTCACGTTTATAAACTATTTTTAATTAGTTGTAAAATTGAATCTTTTTACTCCAAGTAAAATTTAACTCTGTTTCCTTTGAGTTTCTGTATTTTTGAGTACATTTGTCTTTCTTATCTGGCGACAATCACTATTGATATTTACTTTTGATTAAAATTATTCCATGACAATCGTTTTGCTAACATTGACAGGGCAAGCCAAAGGCACTACACAATCTGGTCCTCAAGTCCTCAGACTGGAGAAATCACCCATATCTTCCCAAACAATACAAGATGCACTTAGCAAATTTCATGAACCTGCATTTGATTATCTAAATGGTAGAAACAAGGCTGACATCTGGAGGGAAAAGACAGTTAGTGACTTACATATCGGTGGACGAAATCATGAATACCCTATCAACAAGCATCCTGAGTCTGTGATACCATTACATAGACCTGGTCTTTTTGCAGCTGCTCCTTCCTCTGATTTATCCAAGTCTTGGTCTCATTCAGCTTCTTCTTGGGAAATGGCCAATAGCAGCCTAAGCCAGAGATTGATGTCAATTCAGACACCTCCTTGCCCAAATGTATCTGGTGCTCTGACTAGGATTTCCCAGTCACAAAGTAATGGGATATTGGAAGAATGCTGCTGGCCTCTAAATATGAATTCCAAGCCCAACACTGGTTCTCGATGTGAAGCACCTCTACAGAATGGATTTTTCCCTGGGTCTTCATCTGGGTCCAAGGAACCATCAATGAACATCTCTTCAATTAGCTACGACTATATCAATCATAAAAATGACTGTAAGATAATTCCTGATCACTTTATCAACAATGTTCCATCCAAATCCTGTAAGGGTTCAGATTCAAATTGCAATGACATGAAGTCTGGAAAAGATATTGACTTGAATGTGCTGCTGCCGAATGGTTCATCCAACAATTTAGTTCCCCAGTCAGGCATTGGGATAATGAATGGGGAACAGAAGAATGAGGAGTGTCATGTTGTGTTGCCCTGGCTTAGAGGAAAGACAACTTGTAAGAATGGAGTACCAAACTCTGCAGGAGAGTCAGGTTTATTCCATGCTGCCTCATTGTCCAACAAAGATGAAACTGCCAAGGGACCTAGCGGACAATTTATGCACAATGTAACTTCAGTTTTGTGTTGTAATGACCTTGAAGTGAGGAAAATAGAGGTTAATGAAAGCAGCACTAATAATAGGAAAATTCTTGGCGTTCCCATATTTGATTTGCCTCGTATTTCTGCCAAAATCGCTTCTCCGTCTGTGTCAAATCCTAATCCATCTGATGTAAAAATAGTGGAAAATAAGAAAAAACAGATACTTGATATTAACTTGCCTTTTGATGCTTCTATCGTCGAGTTGGAGAAAGAAGCATTCACTGAAACTGCTGCTAGCAAGACAAGGTCTCCTACAAAAGCAGACTCTAGAAATCAAATTGATCTGAACTTGAGTATGAGTGAGAATGAAGGATCTTTCACAAATATACCGAGTGAAAATATAAAAGTGAAGGCAGATATAGATTTGGAAGCCCCTGTTGTTTCTGAGACGGTGGAGGATGTTGTTTCTGAAGAAAAGCAGCTTGAAACTTCTTTAGAATCATCGCAAGTCCTAAAAACATCAGTTGAACTGCCAAAGGATGATGAACTTATGACAAATGCAGCAGAGGCAATTGTTGTCTTGTCATCTCTTTTATGTGATGAAGTGGATGGTATGATCAGTGATTGTCCATCAGAAAGTCCAAAGGTGGACATGCTAAATTGGTTCGCAGATATAGTTTCCTCATGCAAAGATAATCTAGAGGGAAAGTGTGATTTTTCTAGGGAAAAAGATGGGGACGACAATGAGGAGCTTTCCTCTGGGGGATTAGATTACTTTGAGGCAATGACATTGAACTTGCCATACACCAAGGAAGAAGACTACATGCCCAATCCTCTTGTTCCTGAAAACTTCAAAGTGGAAGAAACAACTACTTTGTTACCAACTCGGACACGAAAGGGGCCAGCAAGGAGAGGGCGTCAGCGAAGGGACTTCCAAAGGGATATTCTTCCAGGTCTTGCATCTTTATCAAGACATGAAGTAACAGAAGATCTTCAGACATTTGGTGGGATCATGAGGGGAACAGGTTATTCATGGAATTCAGGATTGACTAGGAGAAGCTCATCTAGGAATGGTGGTGGCAGGGGGAGAAGAAAGACACAGGTTGTCCCTTCTCCCCCGACACCAGTGGCTACCAATGAAACTAGCACCCCACTGATGCAGCAGCTTAATAACATTGAAATTGGATTGGAGGATAGAAGCCTAACAGGTTGGGGCAAGACAACCAGAAGGCCCCGCAGACAGAGGTGCCCGGCTGGTAATCCTCCATTGATCCAGTTAACCTAATCACCATACGAGGCTTAAAATTTTTAGATGACAATTTATAGAGGTAAGCAGGGCCGGTTTTCATATTAATGGATCACATTATGTTCTCAGGCATGGGGATTTCTTGTAAATTTCTTCAACCCGAATTTGGGTATATGCTTGATTATGGGTGGTAACAACTTGTATTATTCTGAAATAATGTTGCATGATTTCTTCTCATTCTTCTCTTTATAGAACTGTTGAGATATATACCAGTGTTCCTTCAATTCACTGCTCTCTCACATCCTGAGATTTTAATTAATGATTTTATGATTACAGTCTCACTCAGCATGAGTTGGTCCTTCATCTTAATCTAATATAATAGTATATATTTGTCCCCATTTTATGGATATATAAGGTAATATTGTGGTCCTGAAGCATACATTTTTTTTTGTGCAGTTAAAGATTTTCTATAATTTGTTTACATTTATCAAGGAACCATAGGTATAATATTTTTTCATTGTATTGAAATGTCTATTATTTTATCTTTTTCTTTACAAAGCATGTGCAAGATTTTCTCTTCTCATCCTATGACCCTTTTGAAGCTGGTCAATGGTAGGTGGAGGGAAAAATTGATCACCTTGTCTCATAAATGTTGGAATCTCAGACTTACAACATAAAATAAGATTGAGGAATGAACATGAGTAAATTATTGGCGTATGTTGCAGTGCAATGTACCTCTCCCTCTGCGGTCATCTGAGAAGAATGCTCCCTACAGAGTGATACATGGACTATTTGTTAAGTCTGCAGCACGTTGAAAAGTACGTTATGTGTGGAAGAGAAAATATTTTTTACTGAAATTCCACGTTTGAGTTTAGTACTGAAATTCCACGTTTCGGTTTAAAAGAGGTTTTGTTGCCTTCAAATAGATTTAAGGTGTTTTAAACACAAGTTATATACGAACAAAACTATTGCATACCCTAATAAAAAGATTGTTACTTACATTTACAAATGTGGAGAGAAAAAAATTTAAAATAATTAGGGAGACAAAATAAAAATGTAATAGTTTTTAGGTAAATTAATTTGAATATAATTTAATTGGTAAAAATTCTCATTAATTTTTTTAAAAGTTCATTTTAACTTATGTTAAATAGTTTTAATATTTGAGAGAAATTTATTTTTAATTAAAATTAGTTTAAAACTTAAAAGGATAATGGGTACTGAATTATGTTATAATCTCTCTTTTTTATTTATATTCACTCTATTTTTTTGTGAAGTCTCAATATTTTCATGTCTAAACAAAAATATATATTTTTAATTCTGAGTGAGAAATATGCAGAAGCAATAAAGAAGACAATCGAAGTGAAAGTTTTGAAGTGTTCAGGCAGAAAAAACAAAACAAGGACATGCTAACATATTTGTCCACCCTTGACCATTTTAGGAAAAGTCATTACATGATTGAAAATGTTCATCTTTTGTTTTTTTTTTACCTTTCTCTCTTAGACTCAATAATTTATATATATATATATATATATATATATATATATATATAAAATTAAATAAATAAATAAAAGAAGAAAGGTTGTGTGGTGTTCTTTGTTTGATTCTTTTTCTGACCTGCTACTTACCAGATTGGTTCACATGGTAATGACAAGAAAGAGGAAGAGTAAAGAAGACAAGATGCCAAACAAAATTATTCACAGCAAATGCATATTAATGTGTTTGTCTTTCATTATTTTTATTTTATTTTTTTATATATATTTTAAATCATTGATTTGATTGGGGAAGGAACAAAAGAATATCTTAATTAAAACAAGTTAGATAAGAATAGTCTTACACACATGAAAGTGACAAGAGACACTTTCTTGTATACAAATATATCTATATATATATACACACAAATATATCTATATATATATATATATAAATTATTATTTTTTATTCAATTATTGATTTAAGTTGCATCTTGACCACAATTTTGTTATATTTTCTTGGACTAGTATTGATTATTACAAAAGATTTTAATGAAAAACGAAAGTGATATTTTTTATAGATGTGTTAGGAGGAAAAGAAAGACGACACTGCTATGTCAGGTTAAGGAGAAAAAAATTTGGCATCTTAAATTGTCTACAACTATTTTTTTTTTCCTTTGTTCTTTTACTTTTCTATAAAAAATAATTATTTTTCAAAATAATAATGTTAAGATATATATAATAAATATTTTTTTGAGATCATGTTTTCTCTTTTTTCTTAGTATTTTAAGGTGATGTTTTTGTGTGTGTTTTTCTAATAAATTTAATTTTCATTATATATAATTTTTTTTAAATAGTTTAGTTCTATTGTTAATTTTTAAACATATTTCTAACTATGAATTTAGTATGCGTGTAATCAAATAGTGAGAGTTTTTTTTTCCTATAAGTTTACATTTAACAAAAAATAAGTAATAAAAAAGGATAAATTGTACTAATTTATTTTAAAATTATTATATTAAATGATATTTATATTTTTTAATTTTAAAATAATATTTTTCTCTTTTTCATAATAAAATCATTTTGATATTTTATATAATTTTTAAACTGATATTTATTTTAATAAATGATACTCATATTTTTTCTTATATTTTAATAAAGTCCCACTCTTCTTCTTTTTATTTTTTAGTGAAATTAAGAATACATTATTTTTATTTTATTTATAATAGAGATGGATATTTATGTAAATTAGAATAAGTATGAATGTGATTTAATTAAAATAACACCAGAGAAAAAAAAACATTTTTAAGTTATATAGCATTTTAACTTATTTTACTCTTTTATCAGTGAGAGTTTTATAAAGGATCAAAGACATAACTTATTTGTACCCTTTATAAAATATATTGCGTTGTGTCTTTTGATCAATGATTATATATATATATATATATATATATATATATATATATATATATATATATATATATATATATATATATATATATTTATTTATTTATTTATTTATTTTTGATATTTTATTACACAAGTGTGTCCAACACTATAAAATATATATTACACTTTTTATATATGTGCAGTACAGATTAAGATGAGTATGCATTTAAATTAGAAAACGTAAATTCTACTACCTTTCCAACTTTTGTTCAGAATGAACGAAAGGTGAGAAAAAAAAATAATATGAATACTTTTTTTTTCTTTATATTATATTTTTTTTATCAATTAAAAACACATAAAAAAAGTTAAACTGTGATATTTAAAAAAAGTTATCTAAGTATAAAAAATAGTTTAATTTTTGTAAATTATTATTATATTTAATTAAATATTAAAATAAATTACATTAAAATATTTAATATTTTGACTTTGGACTAAAAATAAGATATAAAGTAAAATATATAATTAATTTAGATGTAAATTCAACTTTCACTTTATAAATTATTTTATAAGATTCAGTTAATTTAAATTTTACTCTGAAAAGAACACCCATCCTTGATATCTTCAAACGTCAGTAAAACAATTTTAAAAAAGTGGGTTTGTTGAAAAAAAAAGCAAATTTTGAAAAAAGAAAAGAAAAAAGAAGATTGTAATTTATTTTATAAGATAATATTTTTAAAGTAACTCTAAGACAACATATTGAAAATATTTTTAAAGCAAAAGTTTGAAAAAGATGACAATAATATTTGTGAAAAAACATCTTAAAAATGAGAAAAGCATTAGCACTAGTTTCCAATTGTACACAGAAGAGAAATCAATGAAATGGAATGTTGTGTTGGACATACATGGATGGTACAGAGGAGGAAGAAAGAAAGAGAGAGAGAGAAGAAGATGAGACATTGGACACTGTCTGTGTGTCGTACGTAACACAGCCACAGAACAGAGGGAGGATTGAAGATGGGTCACAGTGGTGGATGGAGAGAGATAAAATGAATACTTAATTTTGATTGGTTATGTCTCTGTTTGATTCTTGGTGTTGTACTTTCTTTCTTACCATAAATTAACTTTAATTTTTTTTCTCTCTCTATCAGTATTCTTTCATCACAACATTGCCAGAAGAAAGGAAAAAAGAAAGGTACTTTTCTTATCATTCATTCATTCTCCAACTTATCATAATTCATATCCCATTTTCAGTTTTCTGCTCTTCCTTTCTTTGTCCTTTTCCCCCACCTACTTTTCTCTTTCTTTATCTTTTCCAATCTTTCTTGTTGACCAAATTATTAACTAATTACCAACACCAATCTTTCAATGTCATTATGTATTTACAAGTATTTTATGGGTCAGTACTATAGTTAAAAAAACTTTATTTTTCTCTACTCCATTTTTTATTTTAAATTAGTTATTTTAAAAAATTAGTCTTTTTTGTTAACTTATTTTATATAAGTTGTAGACAATGGATTTAAAAAAAAACTGATAATTCTAACATATTTTAAAATAAAAAAGTAATATTTTTAATATGGATTTTTTTTCTATTTTCTTTTATCTCTTTCTCAAACTCTTTTTTTTTTTATATATTTGTCCATGTCTTGCTTTCTTGTAATATTAAATTTTTTATTTAATTAGTTATTTTATATAATGTAGCAATGAAATATTTTCTATACACATAAAAACAACAATGTTTCTTTTCAAAACAACTTTATTAAAGTAATCTTACTCACTGGGTAAATACATTACTGGCCAGATCAATCTCTACAAACATTTCCTAAAAGATGACATCATTCTAAAATGGGATTGATTTGTTCAAAATGGAACAGCTAGTTTCTCTCTGCAATTTATACAAGTTACAATCCTCAAAAAACATATTAGTGCCATGACATTCTATATCACATCCTTGTTCCTGTGCCAAACTTTGAAAATTTTCTAAAAAAATATAGATTTCTTTCATTTGCCATTCAGAAGTAGTATCTCCGGCTCCAAATCTATAAATTTTCTTATCTATCTCAATTGAACTGAACCCAGGGACCTTCTTTAAGCCCAGTCCTTCCATTCTTGATCTTACCTTTCTGGATTCATACCAGTTTCCTCCCTCGGCATATATGTTAGATAACAAAGTGAAGTATCCTGTATCATCTGTTCTTATTTCTCCTAGTTCTTTATGAATGTTTTTAATCAAATCCATCCTCCCATGTATTCTACAACCATTAAGCAAAGCACCCCATGTGCTAGCATCTATAGGTAGACTTGTTGACTTAATTATTTCATATGCTCCATTGATATCACCGGAGCGGCTTAGAAGGTCAACTACAGAGGCAAAATGTTCTGCATTAGGCATTATACCATAATCCCTCATTAAGTTAAAATAGAACTTTCCTTCTTCTACAGATCCAGCATGCCTGCAAGCAGATAAGATATTCATGAAAGTTACTTCATTTGGTTTAATATGTGACTCTACCATTTTGGCGAATAGGCTGGCGGCAGAAGTTATTTGGCCATGTATGCCATAAGCAGCAATCATGGCACTCCATGACACCGCACTTTTCTCCGCCATGCTATCAAAAACACCTTTGGCAGTTAGAAGGTCCCCACTCTTGGCATACATGTCAACCAGAGCTGTATCGATGTAGAGATCCCCCTGCACACCAGATACAATGAGTTTATGGTGAATCCATTTCCCCTTCTCGAGATAACCCGAATTGGAGCATGCTTGAATTGCACTCAAGAAGGTTACTTCATTAATGTCCATACAATTGAAGTACATCTCATCAAATAGCTTGAGTGCTTCTACTGAAATACCATTTTGAGAAAACCCACAAATCATACAGTTCCATGTCACAATGCTTTTTTCCCTAATCTTGCCAAATATTGTGTATGCCAAATCCACAAAGCCACATTTTGAATACAGGTCCATCAAGGAGTTCTGAACAAATTCGTTCAGGAAGCCTCTTTTCGTCACATGGCCGTGTATCTGCTGTCCAAATAGTATTGAACCAGCACCTGCACTGGCTGAAATAGAACTTGCTAAGCTAAACGAGTCCGGCCTTAGCCCCTTTCCCAACATACGTGCAAAGAGCACCATGGCCTCCTTGTTTAAACCCTCCTGAGCATAAATTGATATGAGACTGTTCCATGATATAACACTGCCGTTTCCAATTAAATGAAGAAGTTTTTCACAACTGCTTATTTTCCAACATGCAGCATAGAAATCCATCAGTGCAGGCCCTATATCAAGATCAGCACCATTCATTTCTCTCCTCAAAATAAAGCTATGAACTGACATTCCCTCTTTCAACCAACCTAAATTAGCACAAGAAGACAGTACACTGATCATCGTCACCGCATTGACTTCAACTTCTGATTCCTGCATTTTCTTAAAAACATCAATCGCCTCCTCAAAGCACCTATTCTGATTACACGAAGAGATCATACAAGTCCAACAAGAAGTACTTCGATCACCAACACTTTCAAACACCCCTTTTGCTCCGCACAAGTAACCGCACTGACTGTACATAACAATAAGAGAATTCCTCAAACTCGCATCACCAACCATCTCTTTCCTGATCCCATACCCATGCACTGATTTTGCCAGCTCAAGGCAATCAACCTTGCCACAAGCCTCAACCACGCTGAGCATTGTAACTGAGTCCAGTTCAATTCCCTCGGAAACCATCCAACGCAACATCTCCAACCCCTCTACCGGCCGGCCGTTCTCCACATAACAAGCAATAACCGAACTCCACGAAACCAAATCTCTAACACGAATTTCATCAAACACCTTCCGGGCATCACACAAACACCCAAATTCCCCATACATGCTCAACAACGAAGTTCCAATGACAGGATCAGTGCCAGAACCGGACCTTACTATCCTTCCATGAACTTTCCTGCCCATAACCAAGTCCCCAACTCCAGAAACACCTTTCAGAACAGAAGGGTAAAGGAAAATGCAGTTTTGGGTGAGGTGGGAACCCTTTTGAATGTGATGCTGGTAAAGGGAAACAACTTGATGAAACAATTGGTGCCACAAGTAACACTTGATGAGGACCCCGAACATGAAGGAATCGGGAGATGGGTGGGTTTCAAAAACGAGTCTTGATGAAGGGAGAGAACCCATTTGGGCGTAGGACTCGAGGAGCTTGGTGGAGGCAAGTGGATCGGTGTGGAGACCAGTGACGACGAGGTGAGCATGGAGTTGTGTGAGTGATCTTAAGGTAGAACATGACCTGAACAATGGCATGTACAATGTCATCTTTTGTTTCTAGCACTTTTATAGTTTAATGTTTGGGTTTTGGTTGATGATGGAGAAGGAAATGGAGCGAGGAGAAAGATATGGAAGGATGAAGGAAAGGAAATAAGGGGAGAAGAGAAGAGAAGAGAAGAGAAGAGAGGACTCAGAAGAGGCATCAAGCTCGCGGGAACAGAAAAAGTTTGGATTCTTGTAAATTGCAGCCATGAAAGAAAAGAAGAAGAAAAAAAAAAAACTCTAACCAGTTTATTTGATAACTTATTTTTTATTTATTTATCAGAACAAAGCTTGATTCATTTGATAATGATCGCACACGTTCTACATGCAGACATGAGTTCGAATCATGTTAGATGGAACATCATCTCCAATGGAATTTTCTGTAAACAAGTGAATGTGTTTTAAATAATGAATGTGTTTTCAGCGAAAAATTATTTCTAAGCAATTCAGATTATAATTTTACAACTTTTTTTTTTAAATAATGAATGTGTTTTCAGCGAAAAATAAATTAAATATCTTAAAAAAAATACGAATGTAAGTGTTTTTTTATTTATTTAAATGACTAATGTTTTACAATTTCTAACTTAGAGTATAATTATTCTTTAAATAAAGTTTAAATATTTTTATATTTTTACGATTAAAATTTCAAAATTTTAAAAACATGTTTCAATTGAAAAAATTAGAGTAATTACACGAAATACAAAAGATTAATTAGTTGATTTAAAAAGTAGTAAACGAAAATAATGCATATAAATTTAAGGCGATTGAACACATAAACTTGCATAAATGTGAATTGTATAAAAGTGAATGATAAAAAAAAATAATAAAGTGATTTGAAAAGTAAACGAATAGAAACATAAATTTAGATCTAAATATAATGAAATAAAACAATGTTAAGGTAAAGCAAAGTAGAAGAAATTAAAGTATCCTAATACCATGTAAATTGAAGACAAATAAAACAAATAAATAGAACACATAAAATACTAAGTATACAAATTGTTTTGTTTATGAAAGTTTTGGTCAAGTGTCTTAAATATTTTATCCTTTATTGATTTTTGTTTGAAAAATTGCTCTTTTACTTTCCAATCTGATTTTTTATTTGTTTTTTTTTTCAGAAGAGAATGTTATAAAATTTCTTCTTATATTATGCATCTTGCACCATATTATGTTATAATTTATACACATTCTGTTCTTCCTTCTTGCTACATATATTAATATTACATTGTTAACGAACAATTTCTTATTCAAGACACCGTGCTCAATTTTAAGCAATGTATTATTGTTACATGTGTAAAGGCTCGAGCGCAGTTTGTTCAATTTCTTGTTTTAGAATGCCTCCAAGTAAAGTAGTTCACATAATATGAACTAAAAATCACACAAAATATATACAATTACTTGCATTAGCTGCACACTGTCAAAAGAAAGGTCAAAAGAACTTCACAACTAGCTAGTTAGTATTCATGGCATGGCATCTATATACTTCCACAAGTTCTGTAACCAATACGATAAATTTTGTCATACAAAGAGGTTAACTTCTGAAGCAGGATTTTCAATGGTTCTTACCGCATTTGATGATCATCGACACAATTTGAAAGGCTGGAATTGCAGTAAAATACGCTCAATGACAGCCTCTGCCAATTTAGGAGGTAACTTTTCTGAGCATTATAGACATTATATGTATAAGGTTTGGTATCTTCACCACTCTGATGAAGACATGAAAAATGAAAACTTTTACAATAGAAGAAAACATGTGGCTAAGTGGGTGGTATTTATGCTTTGGCTCCATCTTCTTCATTCATCATTTGGTGGGTCACTGGGTATTTCATGCCTTGGTCTATTGTACTTCTCCCGTAGTTGCTTAATTGGGATGAAATCTCCAGCTGAATCCATTCCATAGAATAGAAAAGAGATATAGGGATGATCAAATCTTCCCTGAACACCAACAAAAACGCAAATTAAATGATAGAAATATTAGCACTGTGCATTACTTTCAAGTATGGATCTACCCACTCACCATGTCTGGTTTATCAGGTGTTAAAAGATTCTCCTCTGGAACTGAAAAAAACATAAGAGAAAAATCAATCTGCAAGTTATTTGTATGCAGAAAGAAACAACTAAGCACATCAAAGCAATTTACCGGTGGGAAAAACGAAAAGACAATAGTAAATAAATACAAAAATATTTGTGGACAAGGAAGAGCATATAATAAATACCATTGAATCTAATGTATGCAAACACATAAGCCTAAAGAATTAAGTAATCCAGCTTTACCATATGCCACCAATAGATTTGGTTCAGCACGTACATCAACAAGAACCTGCACATTATAAAGGAAACGGATTTAATTCCACCAGTAGCACACATCTTGACCAGAGCCAGTTCAACCATTAACAAAATGAAATTAACTAGTATGGCAATAGATCAAGATACAACATATACATTTTCCAACCACATTGTCTTGCATGCAAGTAATCATGAAAATGATGTTTTATCCAAAATGTCTGCTCAGTATGAAGAGAAACAATTTAAAGAAGCAAATGGGTCCTTCTGCCACCTTGATGAAGCCTATAAAGCGAGAACAGAGACTATCAAAATCAACCTTGCAACAATAGACACATGACAATTAGTGGTGAAATCTCATGCAGTAATGTTTTCACGATGTTATTGTTAATTACTCCCTACGTTTTACAATGACATGTAGCTATGTTGAAGAATTCTAAATTGACTTACATTTTCAAATTCTAATAAAATATTATTTTTTTTCTCCCTAATTTGTCCTCAAATTAATTACTCTTTTTTACCATTCAAAGAATGCATTTACTGAAACACGGAGACTATTTCAACAAAACTGTTTTAAAAATGGTATAATAGGAGGCGGTAAAATCATTACACAGTATTTTTATTGCATAATATGCTATTCTACAGGGTAACGGTGAACTAATATATTTAATAAGAATTGAAGAGTAGAAGATGAATAAGCCATATAGAATTAGAAAGAAAGTCAAAATAGACTAATTAAAAATTAAATTTGATCTTACAGAAACAGAATAATCATGCAAATGGAATTTCTTTGCTGAAGTTAATCAAACCTGATAAAATGGTTGAGAGGAACCACGAGACAACTTCTTAACTTGTGCATTGTCCATCCATGAACTTGATTCACTGCATACTGGATCCATTCCACAGATCACACCTCTATAGCCTGCATCGTATTTCGAGCAATCAAAATATAGGAATCAGTTCGGAAATCATATGCTCCACAATTATGAGATATTCAACTTATCATTGCGTACATCAATGATCCATATGAAAGATTTACGAGGTGTTGTCAATCGGATTCTTTTTTTCCTGCATTATCGATATTTTAGATCCTGACCTAAGTGGGTATGACAATTATTGCTACATAAAAATAACTTTATCTATTTAAATGCTTCAGATTACAACTAAGACGCGTAATTTTTATTGTTAGATCATATTGCATGCTTGAAATAAAATTAATAATAATTTTCTGTATTCAATGGAAGGTATTTCAACCACTTACCAAATTTTTTATGTCTCACTTTCTGACCCAAGCGAAATGTATATTGTGCATTTTCATGAGCCAAAGCTTTAGCTGATGCAGCTAGAGACTCTGCTTCAAGTTTGGAAATTTCATCACGTAATTCTGCAGCTAAGGCATAATTCTCATTCTCAACGGCTTTCTGGAGGTCTGAACTGCAAGGAAACAGAAATCATTGTCAGTATTCATACTTCAACCTTTATCTGGAAGGGGAAAAAATGCCAAGTTATCATGATGAACAAATCAGCTTGGGACAAACGAAGAAGAAAACTCACCGAAGACGTATTATACTTAGACCTTTATCTTGAGCTTCACTTTTTGAAGATAATCCCCTTTTTGACTGCTGTTGCTTGATTACCTCTTCTTCAACCTTAAAAAAATCAAACAAGCTGCAAGTCATTCAATGCTCCAATCCCACAAAATTTAGATATCTTGAAGACATGTATGATATAGACAAAGATACAATGATACACATACAGTTTCTTCAAGTTATAGAGGGCACTAGATTCATATTCAAGGGTGATACAAGACAAAAAAACAGAATAAATCACTGACAGAAACTGATTAAGCCTACATAATCAACAAAACTTGGTATATCCATATAGGATAGGATTAGTGGCAGTTTATCTAACCTCAGTAAGTTTGTTTCTCAGCTGCTGTGCGATATCATACTGCTCCATATTTAAAGCATACTGACATTCAAAAGTTCCAAACAAATGAAGCATTAAAAATTCTTTCATAAATTTGAAATAAGCCCTACTTCACTTCACTTGTTACAGAAGACAAAAAGCAGCCAGCCAGACCTGTACTCTTGTGGTCAAGTCTAGCTGAAAGAAGAACATCAAGATATCCTCATTAGCACTCTCACTGTGCTCTGAACTTGCATCCAATCCTTGTTCTCCCCCTCTAAACATCCATGCTGCTTCAGCCTTAAAACCACTGTGCCTTGAAATATAAGGGTACCCAATTAAAAAAAAGCTCTGCACAGAGTGGTTCCAAACCAAGTGTCTGTCAGAGGCAGAGGTAATTTGGGATCTCTTGAACGGCTCAAAGGGTGCCATCCAAGATGAGGATGATCCACAGAACCAGCTCTTTCCACAAGTAGCTAGAGTGCTCAATGACACACTTTGCACCATCTTTTTGGGGAAGCCAAAAAATAATATTCCGCTCCCAAAAAGGTAAAACAGAAACTCAAATTCACCCTTTCCTCAAGAGAAGGTTCCTGCATTAATCAAATCACATGGGGGGAAATTATGCAGCTTCAAAATCAAAATATGCAAAATTCAATTATGAACACCCCACTAAAAAAACAGATAAAAAAAATTCCCCTTTTCCCTCAAAATTAGTGAAATTTTTGGTCAAATTGGACTTCGACTAAACCGTTTCTCTTATATGTGTTCTGAGAGAAAATAGAGGATTAGAAACGGAAGCTGGGAGCAAGAAGAGGGTATCCTGTGGACATGCGCTTTGCTTTTCAGAAATTTAGAGACAGACTTCGAATGCAACAAATTACGAAGAAACTATGCACTGAAGATTTCCCCTGAAAATGAACAGAAAAACATTACCAAAGAACTGAAAAGTTTGGAACAATTTCAACCCGCGACGATGGCCTCACAGTCACATGAAAAACTATGAAATTATATATCCAAATAATAATATTAATACTATAAAGAATATAATAAAAAAATTATGTAAAAAAAATCACACTAACGTTGCGAAAGGGCAGTGCAGTAACGGAAGTACGAAGTACGTAAATTTCGTCGGTTTTAATACTTAATGTTTATCAAAATTCAATTTTTAATCTTTCAATACAATGTTTTGTATTATAATTTTTTTCTTAATTATAATAATACAAGTTAACATTCAAACATTAATTTCAAATTTCTTACCGTTTTTAAATTATTTGAGAATTATTAATGAAATATTTATTAAATATAAGTCAAACTCATTAATTGAAAAAATATCTTTTGAAGTATTAACTGTAGTTATTACCTATCTTTTTTTAATTCATTTATAAATACTCTTGTAATAAAATTAAAATTCATAGTTATTATTAAGTAGATTTAACTAATTAAGCATTTGTATTTTATATATAAACTAATAGTTCCATTACTTAAATTAACCGCCGATTTTTATTACTGTGGGTTAAATATGTGTATTATTTCTCTGTTTTTTTCTTGGATTTTGTATTTAAAAAGATTAACTTTTATTTTTTTCATCATTTTATAATGAAAAATAATTGAAAATTAAATTTAAATATAAAAATATGAAAATAATACCTAAATTTAGTTTTTTTAATAGTAAAAAGATTACCAATTATTAAATTAAATATAAAAAAGAGTAAAATTTTATTATTTTTAAAATTTTAAATATTAAATTCATTAATTTAAAATTAAAAAAATAAAAAAAAATTATTTAAAAGATTCATGCAATAAAACCATACTTTTCTCTTAGTTTTACATAACATTCACACCATACGTATGTATTGATCACACACTAAAATTATGTATTAATCTCTGTGCCAATACGTATGTATTGATCACACCATACAACATGTTGTTAATAACTATGATTCTCTGCTATAGTTGTATATGCATACTGTCATCATTTAATATATATATTTTTTCTTCTATCTCTGCTAATTTCTTTTGACGTTTTTGTATTGTAATTAATTCATGTTGTTTCTTTCAAACATTCTAACTAAGAAAATTGAAATTGCAGAGCTAAGTGGTTCTAAAATTTTCACAAGTCTATACTGTCATATTATACTTATCTTGGATAGTTATGAATAAAGTTGGTTTAAGTCTTAACTTTTTTTCAGTTGTTAGATACTCTCCCGTCACATTTCCCTTCTATACTTTATTGGTTTGTTGTTTTTATGAGTATGCAACTTTGTCTATTGTGAGACAGAACTAATTTTATAGACAGAGGTATGTAATGTGACTAGTGGTGACGGGTTAGGAAAGTCTAGTGATATTTCAGGTTTAATACAAAATTTAAGATATATTGGTAAGATATTCAGTAAAAATCAACTCCATAACATCTCAGTCTCTAAAAGAGGACAAAATGTAATTGTCCAAAATAAAAATGAAAAAAAAAAACATACTTCATTCTGACAATGTAATATTGATGAACCTGCAGAATCAAAATTCAAGTATTATTAATATTGTGATTTACTATATGTTTGACAAAAAATCCTTCCATCATAGACAAGAAGGAAGGTTACATTATCAAAAGGACAAGAATAATGTATTGATAATGAAAATAAAAAGCATTCACAATTCTCTATTGACAAGTTTGTGATTATTATTTATACATCTAACTTTTGAAATACTTCCCATGATTACCTGTACTATCCTCAAAAATTAAAATTGAGTTAAATTATCATTTCACAACCAATAAAATTTATAATTTTATTCACAATAAAAAAATATTTTTATTTAATTAAAACTTTTTTTATCATAATATTTATTTTTTTAATTATATAATTTGCAAGTTAATTGTCCGATTAATCTATTTTTTTCATTATTATTATTATTATGTTAAGGTATAAATTTAAAATTTATTATGAAATTATTGGATTGGTGATTATCTTCAAATTATTATTATGAAAGGATATATATTGAGTTGAACTTACAATTACATATTTAGAGAGTTTAAATTATTTAAATTTATTTTATTTTATTTAACTTAAATGATAGGAGGACTATCAATCATTTTTTACAATATTAAAAAAAAACCTTAAAAAAAAAGAGAAGAGAAAATTTTTATTGATATATTTAACAAGTTGTAAAAAAAAGTTACCATTTTTATTTCCTTTTCTATTGGATTGAAATTTTGATAAAAAATTTGCAACATATAACTTTACGTTTGAACTGTTGAAATTGTCACTTCTTTGTCCTGTTTTAATATTCCAAGTTTTTTTCACTAATTATATATGTATTTGATTTGAATATCTTCTTTGATATCCGTGAAACTTAATGGTGAATTTTTATTTCTTACTTACAATTTTTTTTTCATAATAAAATTTTGGGTATGTTCTTTTGTGATTATTATTATAACTTTTTTAATGTGATTATTGGTGACATATTCTTCAAAGTTAGGGAGAATTAGATATTTTGGTTATGATGTTTTTATTTTCCCATCTATACAACATATGTACAAACAGCCATGCACATGTGTTTCTGCTAGTAAAGATTATTCTGTTTATGATAATAAACAGTTGTATTTCTTTCTTTTTTTTAATTATTTTTAAATATTTTTTTTATTTTACCTCCTAATTTTAATATATTTAAATATAACTGTGTTTATGATAGATTTATATGTAATTAAAAAATACATTATAATACTAATTATTATTAATTTATATTAGATCCGCCACGGCTTATACATTAATCTCTTCAACAGAAAGAAAATTCTATTTACTTTTGTAACTTTTTAATTAAACAAATTGTGAAGTTATAAAATAAAATATTGATAATTAAACCCAATATATAGTATGAAAAACTGGTTTCTTCCTAACAAAAGATAAAAAAGACTTTGAGCGTTTAATTATAAATGTTTTCTTAAAAAAAGTGGGGCAGTCTTTTAATAAATAATTATGAAAATATGATTGTTTGAAAGAGAAAAAGGTATGATTATAAAATGAGTGGATAAAAGAAAATGAAAGAGTGTCTAATTAATTCTAAACTAATTTTGGATTTTATTATAATTTTTTTTGTACATAATACAGATACAAGTATGACTTTCTTTTTCAAGTAGAAATATCTGGTAAGAGTTTAAGTTGAATGATAACGAGTTTAGTAATTAATTCTTTCTAAAAGATGATGTTTAAATTTAATTTAAAATGGTAAAAACTAAATATATATGAATAGTATGACAAATCTAAAAGTGGGTATCATGATAAGTCAATAAGTTAAATTTAATCTTCTTTTGTAATATCACATTAATAAAATCTACAATTAGTGTTCGTGCTCCAAAGTGGAGTGTATACTGTTATCTTCATATTCATTTGTGACTTCATGACTTCATCTCCTAATTTCTATTATTTCTGAAAATAACTGACAGATAGTGCAGGGCTGTTCATGTAAGGACTAGTTCAAAACACATGTAATAATATATATGTATGTGTTGATCACACACCACAAGTACAAGATAAAATATTATACATTACATAGAGATATATACCAACAAGATATGTTCATATTTTAGACATGGGTCTTGATGGAGGAACTGTATCCAGTCTGGCCATCATAGTACCTAGACCACAACATAACACCCCCATATTTGGAAGAGCCCTTGATTGTTGGAAGCACTTTGGAAGTAAGATCATCAACATCAATGAATCCACTGCCTGCAGCTGTAGGGGAAGCTGGTAGCCCCAAGAAGATCTTGTTGGCTGGAATATCAGAAGACCACTGCTTCCATGCATCTTCAAGGTTGGTAATCTCACTAGAGAATTGGCAAGGAGGGTTGTTGTAGAATTGGACCCAAACATTGTCAAAAAGACCTGCAAAAATGATAGGTAGACACCTTATGTTATCTGACATGAGAGAAAGAGAAAGGAATATAGAGATGATAAGCAGCACTTGGTTTTCTCTTTCTTATCATGTATGTAAATTATGTGTTATGACAGAGGACAGATATAGAAAAAGAAAAGATAGGTATTTATAATTAAAGGATGTGCGTCTATCATTCTTCATGTACCTGTCTTGAGGGCATTTCCTATCCAAGCATCAGGAAAAGGGCACTGAGGAGCTGCTGTCAAGTACACTTTTCTGCCCTTGTTGCTGTACCCTTTGAGGTACCTTGCAAGAACATCCCAATAAAGGTTTGATCCTCCTTCGATGTCAAAGTCAATGCCATCAAGAACAGCAGGTCCAAGAGGGCGAGAAGAAGAGCTTCCCCCCAAGAAATTGTTCCAGAGGTAAGTGGCCACTTGCCTTGCATCTTGAGGGGATGCAAGGGAGTAGCTACCAGCACCTCCTCCCAAAGACAACAACACCTTTATGCCTTTGGCTTGGCAAGATTTGATGTCTGAGCTCAGCTTAGTGCATCCATCACTATAGGGGTCACAATGGCCAGCAAGGTTTATCATTGGGGTTTGGCCATTGCCAAATGTTGGCAAAAAGGCCAAGATGGCAAACTCATAGTTCCCTGTGGCACATGCCTCTGCCAGGGTGCCTTCATTGCCATTCTGTCCCCAGTAGATTGCAATGCTGCCAGCCTTGGAACCACTTGCTAGTGCCAACAGTGCCAAGGTGAAGAATGAGAGTGAGGTTGCCAAATTTGCCATTTCTGTTGAAACAACTAAAAAACAATGATGTTTTCTTTTGATGATGCATGGTGTTAGAGAAAGGGCCCTTTTATAAGGATAACACAACATCATAACATGCATCTAATCCTAAACTGTTTGTTTGGTTTTGCACATGAGACCGTGGATTGGCAATCACTTCATCTCAAAGAGTCCAATGTTTCAATCATTTGATGTTGACATTGGAGAAACACCCTGCAAACCATTATTAGCCAATATCTATAGTCTACACTATTCTTTCCACTCCCCTTCTGCACATACAATCATTACACTGGTCAAATGTAAGTGAGGGCCATAGATATTAGTTTTTTAAAATTTGTACAAATTTGATTCTAATATAAAATTATTTAATAATTCATCTTTCAATGTTTGAAGAAAATAAAACTATTTTATGCTTTTTATCATCTTAAAAATATTAAGAATTAGATACTTTTATAAGTTTTAGATTTTCTTTTTCATTTCCTCTTATTATTATTTTAACAACTGAAACAATATCTTGAAAAATTAAAATAATTGATTATTTAAGAAAAGTAATTTCTTTATATAATGAATTATAACAGATGTTTCTTTTCCAAAATATTAACTTATTCAATAGAGGAGATAAATTGATCCTATTGAGTTCAATAAATCAAATTGGTTGATATTTGAGTTGGGTATTGAATAAACATATATAAAATAACTTATCTTCTGATAGCCAATTATTCATCTCACTATTAATTAAGTTGATCTGATTCGAACTTAAGAAGTAAATTATTTAAATCCAAGATAATCAAATGTAAACTATTTTAATTAGGTCAAATAATAGGTTTGAAAAGAAATATAATTGAACCTTACTCATAAAGTTATAATAGTACACCCAAAAAAATAATTTATCCAAAAAAGAATCTGAGTTTCAATTTCTGTTAATACATTTAAAATTGTGCAACTAGGAAGTATTCTTTTAAAAACAAAATAGAAAAAATTGTTCTCGTAATTTCTTATGAGTTAAAAAATAGCTTCATAAACTAATAGTCTGTATTTTTTCTCAGCAACATGGTCTTTGAAACTTATCTAATTAATTATTCTCTTTTCACCAAATAGACCAATCTCAAGCATTATGCTCAACTAATATATAATTCTTTCACCTTTAAGAATTTTGGCAAATTGTCTAATTTTTTTTGGCATTCTAAAATATTGACGTGATCCATAAGCAAAATATATTTATTCTATGTACCTTTAATGTGCAAACATTGATCAATGGGGGAATCTTTGAATGATAATTTGTATGTATATATATATATATATATATATATATATATATATATATATATATTTTCTAATTTTTAAGGCAATTTGTAAGTAAGGATAAGAAAATATTCAGCTGATGTTTGCTTCCCAATGTAACTATGAATATATAAATAAAAGGTGTTTGTGGTGTGTTTGGTTTGAATTTCAGACGAAAGTCATTTAATTTAATTTATGCCAATTATGTTAACCTAAATGTAAAGACGCTACACAACAAACCAGCTTCAACTGAGATCAAAATCACCTTTAAATTATATTCACAACTCATTTGGGTATTCCAAAGGAAAAAATATACTATTATTTTACTTACAGAGAAACTTGTCAGTACTTAAAAAATTTGAGAAAGGTAACAAATTCTTCCATCACATATATAGATCCTCTTCTACTTGCCAGTGAGAATAATGGTAAGGCAAAAGTAATGAAAAAACTGCATTATTAAGTGATGCTCTTGTATCAACTGATGATGGTATGATCATGGTCGGTGATAGACATATTTTGTTCTAGGATCCACAATGAGACCTTTTCCTCCATTCACTTCTAAGTCATGCCTATGACAACAGAAGTACAGAATGAATTAGAATATAATGTAAGCTACATTTACCAGGAAATTGAAACAGCAAACAAAAATATGCTACACCTGTCTGAAGCCTGAATGCTTTTGCAGAAATGAAGTACAACATTTTATGAAAAAAGAAAAGCTAGCGACACGTTCTTTAATATACTCTTTAATCACGCTGTTTATTATTTGCTTGAAATTTATAGAAAACTAAACCAGTTCACCTTTGCCTTTTCAAGGTATGTGGACAAGAGCCTGATGCATTAAAAAGAAGTGTACGTTGATATGTGTTTTGTAATTTCCAGAAATTTCAGTCTTGGAATAGCATTATAAAAAGGAACAAATGATGACAACACATGAAAACATAAAGACTCAACTGAAAGACGAAATCTGGGATGGTCAACTGTTCGCGGGGTACGTATCTGAAGAGCTGAAGTAATCTATCAACATACACCACTTTCTTCCATACCTAAAAGTTAATCATCAGTGTCAATAGCATGTAAATGATGTTTCTGTTAACAAAATCTGATTCATAACGCACCGTATTATCGACAAGCAGCTGAAGTGCGAATACAGTCAATTTTAGTCCAACAGTTGAGTGAAGGACATATATTGCCTGTACATATCAGATTGAGACATCAGAACAAAGACTACAAAAGCATAACAGCAATACATTTAAGGAAACAGAAATGTTGCATGCATACATGCAGGTTGTGCTGGTGCTTCCGCCCAAGTATTTGTTGTAATCTTCTCATCCATCCTAGGTCTGGTTGCCTATTTATTTTTACAAAAAATGGTGGACAATGGTGATCATCAAGAAACCATATCAGTGAGTATTGCATACAAATCTTGAGCAACCAACGATAAACTTATTAATAAACAAAGTTTCACAAACCAACCTACGTACGTAAAATATTCTTAAACCACTATCAAAGCACAATTGTCTTGCTATGTATTCCATATTTGAGTATTGTTCACTTTAATGGCATGTCTTGAATTAGTTACATAGAACAATTTCCCCCAATCACTTTCACCTAGCCCCTCTTAATGTTTTGTTCATATAGGCATATCTGATACCACGATAATAATGAATTCAAATTTACCAGAAAAAATCCACTCTTGACAAAGGAGCATAGACTAGGTCACGATACATCAAATCAAAAGATTGCCACATTTAGATGAGGTATGTACCCAGATTTAATGATGAGGTATGCACCCAGATTTAATGTTAAACAACTGAAAAATAATGCAGAACCATCCACATCAAAGGTACATGACCACATGTAGTAAAGTAACTTCATGAAACTGAGACACAAATGGAAAATGATCAACCAAATGTTTCCAGCAGCAATAAAAAATGCATTTGATACAAGATGAGATGTTTGGTTATTCAAACAACAATGTTCAGCCATATTTTACGACATTGACAGTTAAATTTCCAGTTCCCTTTTTCTAATTGAACAAAAGTGAATTTAAAGAGTTTTAGAAATGAAATACTTTTTTATTTACGTAATCAACTAATTCACATTATATAACAACTAGCTCAAAAATTAAGGTATACAGTCAGCTCATCCAAATATTCTTTTAAAGACAACCCTACCACATTTCCTCACTAAAACATAAAAGAAATAGAACAATCCGAAAATCGTAGAATTCAATCATTTAAAACTTACACTTGCAGAGATGCAGCAGAGTGAAAGTATACAATAGTATAAGGCTTCTGGATTATAGGCTCAAACTCCTGAAATTTAACACAGACAGTTTCAGTATATGAAAAAATTAAAAAGGGTAAACCAAAAGGATATGCAGGGATGACAGAATAGATCAACCCACCCCACTTCTAGTTCATAAAAAATGGGATAGAAATTAGAATGGACTGACCACCATAGTCAATACAGACTATAGACTCCAACTTACCCCTGCTAAAGGGCGGACTAATGGACTAGTTGACCAAATCTAAGTTTTCATTCGTTAATATTTTTATTAGAAAAATTGAAAAAAAAATTATAATATTTGAGTGTTAAAATACCCAATTATAATTAATAATTTAAATTTAATTAGTTAATATTTATAATTTAAATTATAATATTTTTAATATATTTAGATATTTTAACAATATTACACAAAAATAATTTTAATTATAATATTTTAATTTTAATTTTAATATATAAATATTTTTTTAAAATGAGCTAGTAGGCCTGCTTGCCCTGCGAGTTGGTAGACTCAATGGTGCAGGTCAAGATGTACTGAAAGACTAAAATTATCAAACCGTCCCACCAATTTTGAGACCGGTTGGTCCATCGGACCTAATCCGTTTTACTATCCCTAAATATAAAGAATAAAAATAGTCATTAATGAAGATAAATTAAGAGAATTATGCATTCCCAATATTGAAAAGATAATTTTAAAAGCCGTAAAATATGTCAAGCTGAAGGATATAACTGAATCACCTTCACCACATAAAGCACAAATCGCTCCAGATCAAGACATCTAAGCAAAAAGTGAGCCCCCACCACCACCATGACAGGACGACCCTCACTATCTACCCCTCCACGATAGCTGAAAAACATAAGTACCTCTGAAATTAAAAGTAAATATCGAAATGAACACATGCATGAAATCTTCTTTGTTAATGGTTAAGAGATGCAAGAATACAAGGAAAGTTGAAAAAGTATAAAACTTTATTACTTTTTTATCTACGTTTGAAATCTTATAAGATTTATATCTAATCCGGAAACAACGTTTTAATTTTTTTCTCTTCTGCAAAATAAAATCTGTATTCATCAATATTGCAGGACTGTCTTTAAGTATTGATGCACCACAAAATATATTTTCAAAGTAGTTGTTGAAAAATCTGCCAAAAGAATTGAAGAATTTAAACCAATGTGAAGTTTATCACTTTGTTCAAATGACAGAAATCTCTCAACTCAGAAATTTTACTGACATTATTAATTGAATTTCATTAATCTTGTTAGAATTAAGCACATGTAAAATAACTAGTACTAGGAACTAACTATTAGTTCCTAATTTATAATTCATACTGATTAGTTTTAATTTAGGAGATGATTCTGATATGGGATACTCAATGGAGTATTTTACAAGTGTTTGATTCCCCACCCTTAAGAGCTAGTAAGGGTTGATTCTCCAAGTGTTTAGTGCTTATCAATCGTTGCTATGATAGGAAGCATAAATAGATGTTGGAATTCCAGAATTCAGTCCTTGGAAACCCATCTCCTTCTGTTGAAGAGCCTTAATGTTGTAGCTCTAATCTAATAGTGATGATGAATATCATTATACCCGTAACTCTGCTTGCTGTTCCTTGTTCTTTCCATCTTTCTTTATGCAGCCATCCCCAAAGACTGTTTTCACTAGCAATCTTATCTCCACTATTAGCCTATTAGCCACTTCCCTTTGTTTCTCCAGATCAATTCCTATCTCATCCTTCCAGAGTTCACCTTCTCTTGGACTTTTTGCATTCTCAAACCTTCATTTTCTTTGTTTTCTTGAATCCAAGTACCTTCAGTTTCTGGAAATGCTTGAGTAAATCCTCCCTGAAAACATTCCCATGATGAGGGCTTAGGAATATTAACATTCCACTGTTGGTATCAAAAGTAGGCATGTCCTTCTAGTGCTTGTGCAGCCAACTACAGCCTCTCTTTCTTTATTCCTTTCATAGTGACGTGCTGCTCAAGGAGCACAATCGATCCATTCACATCATTTCCTTGAAAGATTGAGATTCATTGATGTTTTCTTCATTGAGTTCTGTCCTAAAATTCACAATCTCTTTCCTCATTTCTTCAAGAATGTGTTTCTTCCTTTTTTATGAACCCAAACTACTCCCGAATCCTCCCATCTTCACTACCCACAACTCCAAGATTGGAGCTCTCATTTCCCAGAAAGAAATCCATTCAAACTTGCAGAAGTTCAATGGTCTGCACCTCTCAATTGGCCCCAATCCTCTTACAAAATAGCAAGATATAACTACCCCTCGACACCTCTTCTTATTATAGGCAACAAGCCATAACCAAATTATCTTAACTAATCACTAATATAACTTGTAGATAGGCTATTGTAACTGTTACAAGAGAGAAAAAAGAGGCACATTGAGCATAAGACCGTGTGTTTGAATAGACCATGGATGCATGGATTATATAGGTTTGGTGCATTAATTACATATGACTAGAGGATATTTTGTTTCCCTTAAATGAGATACTGATTCCTATAAACTATATTTATAATAAGATTTTACTCACAACATTAACTAACTACTAATGGGGCTTACCATACAGATTTCTCTTATGATTAATATTACTATTCATACAAATGCAGACATGACATGAGCCACATATTTTTCTTCAATTCTATAAATCAAAACAATGAGAGTATGCATAACACAAACAATGAAATAGATTGATACTTACACAATTTTCATCTCTGCAATTTCAGACAAATTTAAGGATTTTGCTTTTGAAAGATATCTAGAGTGCAGAGAATATTCTTCAGCAGCAGACAATGGAGCTCCACCTAGGTCACCAAATCCAAGCAAGTTTGCAAAATTCCAGCCTCTTTGTGCTTGAACAGTTTTCTCCCACTGCTCCAGACGTCTTTCATCAGGGTCCTTAATCAAAGACATGAAGGCAGGATCCAGAAATGTGTCTAAATAAGATGAAGTCCTGTAAATGCCAAATTAATCAGGAAAACTATACAAGTAAAATTATAAAAATGGATGGCACCTATTTAGCAAATACAAAGAAAAAGCTCCAAGAAAATATAACGTATTGTAATTAATACTGTGGAAAACTAACATACCAAAAGAAAGTGATTTTAGGTGCTTGTTTGATTTGCACCACAAAAATGTTTGAGGATACGGAAAAGTATATTTTGACTATTGTATTTTTCATTGCTAAACATACATTTAGTTCCGCTGAAGGGTCATCTATAGAAGTAAGAAATTTGTGTTTGTTGATAATACTTAACATTTGTTCACAAGATGAAGCAAAGTATCATTGTAAAATTGCAACATAAAATTTAGATTATTGACTAAAACCATATTTTAGGCTGGCATCTGCTTTCACCATTAATATAGTTCTTGACATTTAACGCTTTTCACTTTAGCACCTGACATTTATACACTCCAATTTAGTCGCCCTACCTACTTGAATACTAATAAACAAAGATACTTGTTAAACATCTTATCATATCTTAGATTATCCTATAGGATTATTCTCCCTATTTCCTTATTATCTCTTATAATTGGTTTGCGTATGTTGTTATCCCATATTTGTTTCCTCTTTTAGTTAGGATAATGAACATGAGTTACTGCTTTAGGTTTCACAAAATAAATCAACACATTGTAATACGTTATAGAATATTGTACAAAGTATATTTTCCCTCTCCCTCAATACTTAGGACCATGTAATTTCAACAATTCTAAATTATTACTGTTAGAGATTATGTGATATCATTAACAACAAACTTGACAATTGATAGAATGGCTAGATGATAACATCTAAAATGCTAGTTTCATTTGTCAAGCACCATTTGAAGAGTTTAAAAAACTCATCCACATTCCAAATGGCAAGTAAAATCATAATGGCTATTTAGTTTCATAATAGTGAGTCCTAGATAACTAGAATATTGATAGATAGATTAAATAAAGTGAATTTTTATGAATGATATGGACTAATATACGGTCTTAGTCTAGATTTTTTATTGGATTCAGTGAAATATACTATTAATGCACATTCCATTCAAGTATCTTGCACTAAATCAAAATTTAGTAACCTGCGAACTGAACCAACATCGCTAACAGGAAGATCAACTGGAGCTTTAGCAGGTTCTGAAACAATTTTTTTAGGCAAAGGTTTTATTCTGATTTTGCGCTCATCTATGACAGTCTCACCATTCTCATCCCCCACATCTGCAGGAAGCCTCGCCAAAGCCATCAACTCCTCTTGTTTATCCCGGGGGAAGTAGAGTGGAAGCAACCTACATGCATTTTATATGAAAGATAACAGTGAATAAGTAATTGAAAGTTCAAAGCTGAAAAAAAATAAAATAAACAAATTTACTTTAACAATTTATTCATATAAAGCACTGTATATGTCAATAACAAAAACAAATTACCTTTTATATATCTCGGTATCAACTGTGCTGGTAGTGCAAAAAACGACAGCTGTTATATTGTCTTTCTGCTTCTCAAGAAATCGCCGTACAGTTCCTGAATAAAAAGACCTTAGAAGAAAGTGTAGAAACCTAATAATAATGCATTATCCATCAGACATCAGAAAACAACACCAATCATTCATTATGAGTCTATGTCAATACTAGATGCATTCAGCATGGGCATGATTAAGTATCACGAGGTTATGCTTTGACATTAATGATGATTGGAATGAAATGAGGGTTTTGGAAACTACAAAACGGCAGAATTCTTCACAAAATGAAACAACTAAACATTCCTCTACTTTCCTACGTAATTTGCACTTTGTCATCCCTTTGATCAATAATCTAACATTAGTTAGTACGATGGAAAAACTAAACTAAGTAAACTGATTGGCAGCAAAGCACGCATTGTCATTCTATCTTCTTCCTCTCCCTTTCAAACAATGATTGATTTACTTTCTCTACGCAAGATAAAGTTAGCTTGTTATTTTTTCTTGTTTTTCACACTAAAGGCTGATGTTTTCTGTATGGATGGAACAGCAATAAAGTAATTTATTTTCAAAAGGTCAATTTAATTCCAACAATGAAAGTTAACCTGTTTAATTTATTTGGTCAGAATAAATATCACAAAAATGAACATATAAACTTTAAAATATGGAAAAAACTCACTTATAGCTACATGCGCAGCTGGCTCACGGGGATAGTTCTTTGCCTCGGTATAAATACATCCCATAGCAATACTATTAAACATTTGCCAACAAAAAAAGTAAGTTTCAGATCTTTAAAGCTGCATGGGAGATGCCCTAACAAACTGTTTCAAGAAAACAAAATATTATAACATTTGAAACAAAAACCTTTTAAGCCCATGTTCAACTAAAAGTTCTAGGCAAGAACGATAGCAATGGCTTAAGGCATTCTCCGCAGCAGTTTGGTACTTTGAAGCATACTTTGGCCCAACTGTATGGATAATTTTCCTGCAAGAAATTTATTGAAGGCATAAATTTCATATGCAATGAATCTAACCTTTAGCCAAGAGAATTATATGCAAATGAGGAATATATATATAAAGGGGCAGAACCATTAACATAATTTGTGTAGCATGACAAATGACTTAATGATCTCACATTGAAACACAGGAAAATATAAAACATATTTTGCCAATGTCCACTTATATACACACTCACAATTGCATATTGCCATAATATAATCCAAATCCCATTCGAATACAACCAAAATTCAAAAAGGGCAACTTTGCATGAATGCTACAGCACTGACTTAAAGACATTCTCAGTTTCTTTCCTCCAAGAAAGGAGGAAAAAGAAAAGTAAACTGTGATAGCATAGTGGTATTCATCTTCCCATGAGGTAAACGAAATTTGACTTTGAAAAGGTAAAAAAAGGGGAGAGGGGCAATATACAAACCTTGCAGGAAGGTCATAGGCACTGGTTACTTTAGCCATCCCTGTTCGACATCCACCCTGTAAACAATTAAGATATGTGAGATCAATTATATTATCATATCCATTTTAAGAAAGCTGCTTCTTGGCATGTCATTTTATGAATTGTTGAAACACAATGATGATGAAGTGCTGCCATCTTTAGCTCAATCTCCCAACCAAAATATTATCTCACCCAACAAATAAAAAAACCAACGAAAATATAACATCGAGAACATAACAAATTTTTTTAGAACAAATTTATAAATTATAAGAACTATACCAAAGTCGCACATTCTTCTGCAAGACCAGGTCCAGCTGCAGCATGCAATCCAGGGCTGCTGTGTGCTTCATCCAAGACCTGTACACAATAATTGAAAGCAAGCTAAGAAATATAATACTATTTGCTCAATTATATTTACCGGAGGTCTGGTACCAACATGATACATATTATCATTACATTATATAATCACAATAGTCTGAAGTGCAACATAATTGTTGAGAATTGAGAGAACTTATTTGTAACTCAGTTTCCAATGTCATGGGAGACACAGTACAGCAACCAGTGAACAGTGATTAAGAGGCAAACAAAAATTGCTCTTTTATCATGTTTATTTAAAATACAGATCTTGCTTTAATGACATTATTTGAATAAATTTATGCAGAGATTTTTTTCTTCTTAAGGGCTCAATATTATGTGATTTTATTTATCAGCAATAAAATTGGTTTTAGCTGAAAATTAAATTTTGCATGCAAGCATTGGAGAGCAAATGCCTCTAAGAATTCGATGACTCGAAAAAGAAATATTTATGCAGTTGGATAGAACACGCACATGAAGAAAACAATCGCTTTATGTAATAGAACAACCACTTTGGTGTCCTTTTCGGTTCACACTGTTCCCTAGGAGTCCTTAAACAGATCTTTATATCATAAAAGAATGAAGTAAGGAAAATCAGTCAAACATTAGAACGATTTGAAGCAGATTAAATCGCCATTTGCAATGCAATAAAGGTCATCAGGAGGAGATTGATCTTTAACTTAAGAACAGTAGTAGAAATTTATAGTTAATAAAAAAAGTTCCCTGCCAATTGTTTTATAGGGTAAACTCTCCTTCAAACGGTGGTCATATTTTCTTGTTTTGCTTGCACAAAGGATTACAGTGAAAACTAAGAAATAACATAAAATTAACCAACTTTGCAATTACCAAACCAAGAAAAGATAAACCAAACTACACAGGTATATAAAGAAAAATCAAACTATAGTACTAAAAACACATGCACTCACTAACCTCATTTGTCGAATTTACCACAGCATCCACCTCAAGGTTCCAGGGGTTCCCCCTCCACAAGTATATCTTCGAATTAACTTCCTGATCAACAGGAAACCTTGACACAGAATCACTGCCACCGCTCTCTGTCCCAGACTTGAATGTCAAGGGATCAGGGTAGTGTGAACTAGAAAATGATGAGTCTCCGTTGTCATACCCTAAGGAATGCTCAGCATCAATCCACCTAGGAACTTGATCCAAAGTCACGACAGAGTCCCCACTATCATTTGGCAATCCACCCGAGGATGTGGCTGAATCTGAACTAGCCACAGGCCTAAACATTTCAGGGACTCCTAAAATCAACAGCACCAATCCCTATGTTGAGGTTCTTCCAAATAACATTTCCAAGTTCCACAATCACTATAATTGCATATCAACAATCTCAAATTCACACCTTAGCTATTCAATCACCAAAACTTCAACAATAAGAACCTCCTATCAAACGAAACATGAGATTACAAAACAAATTTCAAGAGCAATCATTTTCTTCAACTAACATTTGTGCAGCAATGAAGAAAATGCAATAACAAATAAATAAAAATGGATTCTTAATTCTCAAGTTAAACAAAGAGGGAAACCTAATCAGATTATTTCCCTTGTATCAGACGGGGGGGATTCTGATGATACATATGAAAGGGGAAACCTTAATTTGATTCAAAAAACGTGAAATACCTGAAACTGAAATCTGGGTTTCGAAAAGGATTTCGCTTCTTTCTCCTTACAGTTCCGCTTTTTTTGAGATCAAATGAGATAAAATACAACACTCTTGTTGCTGGTTACACGGGGCAATGAGCTTGCAAAGTTTAAATTTTTATTTATTATTATTTATTTTTACATAAATTATTATGTTTGTTAATTTTTGTCTTTTAGAGGCTCTTAAATCTATAAGTTAATGTTCAGAATACCATATTGTGGTGCCAATGATTAAGCAACAATTTAATAGTAATTAATTGATTACTAATCCTGCAAGAGTTTATAATTGCAATGTTTTTTTAGGAACAATTTAAATGTTAGTATTTACATACCATTATTGTTTGGTTCAGTGCTTATGTGTACACATTTTACTTTATTTAACTTGTACTATGAAATAATTATATATAATATCATATTTATTTTGAGAATAAATAAATTTGTTTATTGTTAAAATTTTAGAGGGGAAATAAATATGCAATAAGTTTTAAATAGATATTATTTGAGTGAATCTCGTGACAGTAACGATAATTCTAGAAAAAAAAAACCATATTATAACAAAGATTAATGCTTATTTTTTGTTATTATTAAGAAAATAAATATCATTCACTATAATGGATTTTAGAAGTGCAAAGTAGAATATGTTCAATAACCTTCATCTAAAAAGTGGAGTTGGCATGCCAAAAAAGAAGGGTGATTAACTCAGACAAAAAACATTTTTTGTACTTTGCTTCTAAGTTCTACTGAAATTCATGCCACAAGTCCCAAGTTTCAAGCATCTTGACAAAAATGACCGAACCTGAGTTGTGTTGTGTGCATATTAAATGCACAACTTAACATGCCGATGAACATAGGAGGCAAGGGGAAAAGGGCAGAAAACTGAGGTGGGTTCTAGAGAAAACCCTCACATTATGGTGATTGATTTCACGTGGCATGTTTCACTCGTGTAATAAGCAATACAATGATTGGATGAATTTGATGTTGGAATTGAAATCTGATGAATGAAAAAACCAGTAGCCTATTATTGTTATGACCTTAAGCGTTTATTTTATTACAAAATTTAGATAAAATCATATTTTTGCTCATCCTTGAACAATTATCATGGACTTGAGTTAATGTGTGAAAATTTGATTGCTTTTCCGTTGTTAGAGTGCTTATCAGATTTTACCAACTGTCTGTCTTTTCATTTGGGATGTTAAGATCCTGCACATGAATAGTGGTAACAGTAGAGAGACAAAAAAGTAGAAAGGAAAATCAAGTAGATAAATGAGGTTTTCTTTCTGAATAATACATATATAAAAATCACGGTGAAGGGTTCAAAACAAAATTTTGAAACTCTGCGAGCGGCCTAATTGTTTTTTCACCTATAAGTTGCACCTATACATAATTTATATGAAACTTTGTTCATTTATCTTCTCTTCTCTGTGGTCTAGTGCATGATCATATATTACTCTTGTCCAGCCTTCTGCTTCAGCATCGCTATGAATTTGTCCCTCTCCTCTGGAGACATTCCCTCTGCAGAACAATCTCCAACTCCCCATTCTGCCCCTCGTATGCAATACTTGTTCTCAATTTCTTTACGGTTCCTGAAAGCAACAACACAATAGTGTTATTGTTACTTGATGATAATAGATGCAAAAATTTATAAAATTGTGAGTGAATTTTATTAAATAAGGAGACAAATCTACAGTTTTATAATTTTCAATAAATGTAATATGTAATAAATTGTATGGTCAAAATACTATACTTGAGTCTGCTGCTAGCATTTCTATAGCACACAAATGTGGCCAATGCATTCTCAAATGTCATGGAAATACAGTCACAGAAAACACAAAAATGTTCATGACAGCATGGTTTTACATTTGCAAACAACACACATAATTCAAACAAAAACATTACTTCTCTTTATTCAACTTGGATTGCTCAAGCAGTTTCTTCAGCAAAGGGGATGATTTAATTCTTTCATCATTCTCAGCATATTTCTTCTGGTTTTCATCTGCAAAACAAAAATAAAGCCAATTTCATTTTCATCAATTTGAGCTTATTTCACAAAAACCCCAAAATGCTGCAAAAACAAAAAGCACAATTGTTTAACTTGAGACCATTGAGATTTTTGAGAAAGTCAATCTGAGGTAGTTGAGGACCAGGAACAGCTTCTAGTCCAGAAATTCCTGACATGAAGCCAGCATTTGCTGCAGAATATGAAAATGCTCAAACTTTTAGTTAGTAATTAGCATGTTTTTGTATATCCAATGAATGAAGCTTCAGCCAACACAACAAAATGTATGCTACATCAAAAGCAACACATGGTATTAGTACCTACCAGGGGCTGACCAAAGAAGAATTGCAAGTGAAGCAGCCAAAGGAACTGACTTTTGAAGTGCTTTGCAGGAAGGAGGAGAAGGAAAAGGCCAGGAAATTGAGTGTGTGTGTCTTGTAGGTATTCCAATTTGAAACTTCTTTTGAGGGGTGGTGAGTTTTTCAGTGAAGGTGGAATGTGTGGATGACATCTGAATGAAAGATGGAAGTGAAGCGGAAGCCATGATTGGCTTCTCCCTACTCTGCTGAACACCGGGAAGGAAAAGGCAAATGAGATAAGGGAGAGCAGAAACAGAAGGCTCATATTGCTTCTTTATATATTTTGATTTAACAATTTTTTACTCTTTGGTATGTAAATTTTCCCCTTTTTTTAACTCTTATCACTTAAAAAAATGTAAATAAGTTAAATAGATTATGAAAAAAAATCATATTTAATTTGCGAGGTTTAAATTGAAAAGTAGGTGAGTATTTCACTTTTAAAATATTTATAAACTAATTAGCTGCAATTAAAATAATTAAAGATTTAATTATATTTTAGTCCACGTTTGTTAATATATATTAAAGAACTACACATTATTAAATAATTTTTTAATAAGAGAATATTTTTATTTGCATGAGTTACATGGGATGTATGAGATAAATTGTTGATTTAGTAGTTTATTTTGTTTCTTTAAAATTTTATTTTATTATTATTTCTAATGTTAATTCAATCTTATTTTAAAAAGTAAGTCGATATTATTTATTTTATTAAAAAAATTGTAATTTATTGATTTGACTATGTTTATTATCAACTGATGTGCTAATATATATGATAATAATTATATATATATATATATATATATATATATATATATATATATATTATCATTGTCATGATATTTTTTTTTTGGATAATTTAGCAATAATAATAAAGAAAAATACATTAACTTATTAAAAAAATTAGAACAAACTGATATTACAAATAGTAATGTAACAAAATTGAAATGAAAAATTAATAAATAGTAAAACAAAATAAGTTATTTAACCGGTATTTAATAAACTTTACGTAGTATTTTATTTATAATAGAAGTTTAAAATAATGTTATGAATGTTTGATGGAATATATATAGTAGTGACGACTAAGATATTCACAAATCAGAACAATCCTAAAACGCACATTGGTTAGCCTCAAACGTTGGTTAAGGGTTATATTTTGGGATGAAAACAAGTGAAAAATGTAAGTTAATTTTGTGAATGGGCATGCTAATGATTGATCTTTTATTTTATAAACTAAAGAAACACCAACTTTAATATCTTATCCCTGATTTTGCATTAGGTAATTCTCCTATCTATTTGTTAAACGTCATTCTCTTTAATATAGTAAAAAATAAGCCTGTTTGTGTAACATCATCAGTTTATATACATATGTTTCTATGAAAAAATGAAATAAATTAACAAAAACTAGTTTATATATAAATTAAAAATTTGAATTTGAAGAAAGTAATATGTTTCTTAAAATTAGTCTATAAACTAATTTTATTTTATAAAGAAACTATTTTTCCCTTTAAAAATGTAGGGAAGGTATTCGTTCAAACTAACCCAATTATGTACACAAAAATATATATTAGAATAATTATTTTTTGTAAAATTAACTACCGTGAGTTTGTTGTAATGCAAGGTTAGAAAAGGCTACAAACTTACTCTTTTGAGCAAGCAACTTTTCTTTTTTTGGTTAAAATTGATTAACATCTACCAAATTGAGTTTTCTATCTTATTTAATGAAACATACTTCATAGTTCTAAAAAAAAATAACCAATAAAATAGATTGTTAATAAGATTCCTGGCACTCTAAAAAAAAATGGTGACAATTCATGTGTTTTGTATCAAAACAGAAATTCTACATCTTTCTGATCTAAAAAGATGGCAAAGCACAAAAGGACCCAAAACAAATTGGTTTGACAACTGAATATATAGGTAAAGTTGAGTGTTTGCCTGTGGTATGATGGTCTCAATTTGTGGAGAAAGTAACCATGATTAATGAATCGCAATATGACTACCACAACCCCACAATCAAGCTCTCTGTTATACTGATAATATTTTCTCATTTTCTTAGAGTTGTATCACTCCATCATGGCCTTGGCAGCATCAATTAGTGTTGGTCTTAACTCATCTGTAGCACGACCAAGTACGGTGTACCCTTCCTTGTCCTCCACATCCACATCAGCTCCATGTCTTATCAGAAGGAGAGCTACCTGTAACACATACACGTGAGAGATATTTATGCCCCAAGAATAATGTATCAACATGTGAGGATCGACGTGGAACCACGTGTGGTCTCGGATTCAACCTATAGATACGGGAAAACACAGTGCCCACCCGCTACTAAGTTCACCATATCTCAGGGAACTAGTCTCTCGCCTATCAAGTGAGATTACTTGGGGAAGAAAAAAAACTACTGAAGCTAACCCCCAAAACATTGACATCAACTTATTGTACATAAGATACTAAATAAAATAACTAATGAAACCAACCCCAAAACATTTCAATGCTGATTTTGCAAAAGAATTTGCACATTAACCTTCCTCGCATCACAGTTCATGTAAAATCAAAAGTTAGAAATGTCATTTAATACACTCTAGAAAATATTAAATATAAACAATAAAGCAAAAATTTCCATAATATAAACACTTCAGGCTCCCAACAGAACTCCATAATCAAGTTGGTTAAATACGTAAAGGGAACATAAGATTTCAAGGGTGAAAAAGAAGCTTTGATAGACACAACAGAATTGACCCGCTTTGCCAACTTGAGAGTGAAGAGATATGAGAAAGAAGCTCAAGAGATTGATTTTTCTCTCAGCTAATTTGTGTAATATACATAAGAATTCTTACATCAGAGATACAAAGAGAGGATAAGATAAAGACTACACCTACGTGATAGACAGGCACCATCAAAACAGCTTCTTCAATGAGGAACAGATAAGTTAACCTATTCCGTTAAACTATGCTAACAATATAAAAAGTAGATGCAAAATATAAAAAACAAATATGTATGGGCCTTTTTTTTTTTTAATATAAGAACCAAAAATAATTTATTTTATGAAAATTCCCCTCTATGCAGATTGCATAGCCAAACCTTTGCCATTAATTTTAAAATTAAAAATAAAAAGTGGTGAGACCGGATGGAAGAAAAATGAAACTATATCAGGAGCTAGTAAAGTACAATTAGGATGAAACAGCTCAAGCCTGGCGTTAAATGCTTCATTGTTGTTGGCCAGGCCCTACAATACCCTACAATCAAGGCCCAAACATAATTTAAATTTGAAATGAGTAGGGTGAAATAATTGTTAAAAAAAAGCATCAAATAAAGAGAAAATACTTCATGATACAGTTATGATTCACGAACAATCAACATAGCATCCTCCTTCAAAATCTCACATGTAAAGAAACTAATTAAGCCATTGAATTAATAGAAAACAAACAAATGAATGAAGAAATAGAAAACAAACAAATGAATGAAGAAGTCACGTCCGTTTCTTTACAACAAAGATAGATATGCATTTTGAAAACAAAAATATTAAGTATGGTGAAGTTATCAAAATTTAAAAAGGAAGTAGGAGCTATATTCATACTATAATATATAGGTTTGCTGTTAAACAATATACACGTATGCATGCACACACATAAATTAAGCATACCTCTTTGTTATGGCAAATCACAGCATGCATCAGAGGAGTTTGACCAATTCTATCAACAGTGTCAACCTCTGCTCCTTCTTCAATCAAAAGTTCACACAGCTCAGATCTCCCAGTGCTAGCTGCCCGGTGCAATGGAGTGCTACCAGTCTGGTTAAGTACAACATAAACTAAATTAGTATACATGTTATCTTTAACAATGTGATTATGAAAAGAGATACAGTGAAACTAGTGCTACAAACGCATCTTATGTTTCCAATCTACAACCTTATCCTTTATATTAATCTTGGCATTGTGGGAGAGGAGGATTTCAGCAATCTCCAACCAACCTTTGCTGGCTGCATAGTGTAAAGCAGTGCGACCCCCATCATTTTTCAGATTAACATCAGCTCCTAAAAACACGATGAACAAGAACATTTGAGATAATTGATGAATCTTTCTATAGCAAATGAAATTTTAGTCAGGAAAGGTATAGGTCATCACAAAGAAGCTATATTTTATTACTGGATTTGTTCAAAGCAATTCTACATTTTACAAAATACAAACAGCACACAATAGTAGCCTACATATTCAATAAACGATGTAGAGAATGAATTTAATAGAAAACCAGAATTGACACTTGAAAGCGCTCAACTAACTGTTACCACCATTTTCAATCACAAGCTACATCAATTTAAAAGCTTTCCAACACTCATAATCTAAACAGAACCAAAAGATGGGCACAACGTGCATTAAGAGGCTGAAACACTATTAAGATGGAGAAAGATATACCTCGCGTCCTCAACTCTATTCCAAAATAATAAGAAATTGAAATCAAACATCAGAAAAACCCCATGAAGAAGATGATTATCAATAAACAACTATAAACAAATAAATAATACCAGTTCCAAAGGTTTTAAATAATGACCATCCTCACAATTATGATTTCGTCGCAATCCTTGATACTGTGGAGGATTACTGACAAATGCGACCAATGCAGCTGAACTTGCAAGTGCAATGCTGTCGTAGAAACCCCAACAATCTTGCATCAATAGGTCACAGTCACCCGGACTGTTTTCTTAAAACCAATCTACGACATCTTTCTTACTAGTAAGTCTTACAATACAATCGTGTTCAAAACAATCAAAAATATCAATCTCAGGAAACAGACATTAATACTTAACCACCCAGCTTACACTTCAATAAATTCTGAAGGGGAAAAACGATGCTGATTGAGCTCAGGAATACATAATAATGATAATTAACTAAAAAGCAACGCGTGGAGTTAATTGAAAAAAAAAAAAAAAAAAATCCTTTGACCTTTGCTCAACAGAGTCTCCACTATCTCAAAATTCCCAATGCTAGTGGCGGAGTGAAGCGGTGCCCACCCTTCCTCATCGGCACTATTCACCACACCAGCAGACCCATCACACGATGACAGTATCTTCACCACCTAAACAAATTCATTCCAATCCACGACAATAAAAACTACGATTCCACTAACCAAAAACCCTAATTTCAAAGAGTGGTGACAAATGCAAAATGAATGCAGTTTTACAACAATTGAAGGAAAACCAAAGAGACCATTTTGAGAAGGGGCATAAGGGTACCTGGGAGCGTCCGGAAGAGGCGGCGACGTGGAGAAGGGAGCGACCATCTTCGTTTCTGAGAGAGAGCACTTTGGAGAGGGTTTCAGAGGAGAGTGCTTGGAACGTCGCCGCGTCACCTTCTTCAGCAGCTTTGAACAAGTCCTTCTCTTTCACGTCTTGTTGCTTCTTCTCGCAGTCCACTTCCATATCCATCGTTTTCTATTTCTCTCTGATTTTCACTCCAAGAATCAGATAAATGTGTTCCTCGTTTCTCTTGGAGCCAAACTTTGCAGCAAATGCGAGAGACTTCAGAATATAATCTTCAAATTCTAATGCATTTTGGGATTCTGGTTAGAATAATTGGAGTTTAAGGATTCACTGAAAAAGCTAAACTTCATCGTTTGGTAGTTCAAGGAAAATAAACTGGATTACGTAGAATTAAAATAAAACAATTTTCTATACGTAATTTATACATTTAATCCACGATTAAAATTACAACCAATAAATATTTTTATATGAACAAGTTTCTCCAAAATATTAAAATAAACTAATATGTAAGAAAATACAAATTTATGTATAATTCTTTTAAAAATCTTATTTTTAATTTATGTATAAATTAATTTTAATGACATAATTTTTTATGATAACTATTTTAAAAAACATCTTAAATTATATATAAAGTAATACGTTATTGTTTTTTTGCTTTCCACAGATTCCATCTACATGTATCAATTAATCGTTTAACTAAATACAAGAAATTCGTCCATTAATCATTAATCAAGTTTTAGAACTAAATTAGTATGAGACGGAACTTAATACATTGACAAAAGTATGAACTGAAAAATCATCTCATCAATTATATGCTTTCTTTGTACATGAAATATGGCTTCCACCCAGCATTGGCACATCAATTATTGGACACTATGGTTTGAGAATTGAGACAACTTCATTGCTTCCACAATTTTGCTTTTCCAAAAGACTAAAAGGACAACTTCGAACACATTGTTGGAAACTCATAGTAATTACATTTCTGCTTTAGCATTCAAAGGCCCTTAATTTTCCTGTATCAAAATGAACACAAAAATGGAGAGAATCTATCAACATATACCACTGTTAAACGCAATAGAAGGTCAAAAAGACAGGGAGAGTCTTATATTGCCAGTAGAAGGTTCCACTTTTGTGCTCTGATGCATATAAGCACTCACTCAATAGGGTTATTTCTCTTTAACTTGAAACAGTGCAAATTGCTGCAGCCACAGCCACTTAATATTCCACAGTGTCATCATTCTTACAAGGCATTTTCTAAGCTTTTCCCCTACAACTCCCTTTGATTGAAAAAGAAGAGAGATCCACCTTTTTTCTCCAATGAAAGAGAGATGTAGAGGAAAAACATAGAAGATGAACGGTAAAAGTGAGAACATTGATTTGTATACCATGCACAAAGGTACCCTGCAACATTTCCTGAAATCTGATAACATATAGCATGATGTAAAAGATGAGAAAAACAAAGTAAGAATATTCATCTTTTGGTGCATGTCAACAACAGGTTGGCTCAAAGGGGTGACCTGAGAACACAAAGTAAATTCACCAATACCAACAGATGATGATATGGAATTGCAAACCAGCCTTGTGTTCTCAGATTCACTCCTCTGAGATAAACCATATGACTTGACTGGTAGGAACATTTTCATGAGAAAAACAACACATTTACTTTCTCGGATCAGGATTTTCCTTTATATATTAACATTACGTCCTCATGTTATGGATTCACTATGTTGTCATTCAGAAAACACCATTAGTTTTCCAAGTTTATTAAACAACATCATCAGTGTTGCTTCAAAAGCTGCCAAAAGAAGTATATACAACTCAAAGGTTAAAACTATATAATAATGTAACGTTTGTAATTAATTGATTATAAAATAATTATTTTATTAGTATTTGCGTTAAATTTGTACAATGGTTCATATCTCGACATGGACTCACTTTATGTTGTCATTCTATAGACAGCATGTGAGAGGTGTCCACATTATTGACAGTTGTGATGTAGATTACGTTAGGAAACAAACTCAACCAGTGAAGATGTTGTCATTTTCGTGGCATTTCGAAATTCCAGACATCATGGGTGGTAATGGTTGTGATTTTAAATAAGTCATTTTAGTGCCAAAAGTCCATGAAATTATTTTGAATGATATTTATGATTAATATTGTGTGGTTAAGATTTAAATTATTTATGAGAATTTAAAATATATGAATTTTTAAAAATCTATATCAAAACTCACAATAGTTAATAAAAGATAACAAGGTTATTTAATTTAAAAATTAGGATATAAAGTTTTCAAATTTTAAAGTTTGTGAAAAAAAAAAGAGTGAAAGATGGGAGGAAAAAAAACTGCAATTAAGTCTTAAAATACTCCAAGGTGCAGTTCAATTCAGTTAGTTTTGTAAAATAAATAAAAATTAAATTTTCCTTTTTTTTTGTTTATTTCTAGCAACTCGCTGGTCACCCACGGGTCTCTAAAAAGAGTAAATCATAATTTTCATTAACTTTGACCCATTTTTGTTGAAAAAGAAAAATTAGATCTACTCGAGCCAGTTTTATCCAATTTCAACATTGTTTTAAATTTGTTACACAAAATTAAATTTATTAGATAGTGTTTCGGTGGAATTTCGATCGATTTCGATTCTAAGGGTGTTTTGGTCCTAATCAAAATTCTACTACGTAAGCTCTTTTTGCTTAGGCTAGCAATTTGATTTTCAATCGAAAACGTGTATGAGAATCGAAAACTCCAGGATATCGAAAATGCTGTTTTTGGTGTTTCTGTATCGAAAACATTTAGACTATCGAATCGAAAAACAGAATATTAAATTGCGAGGAAATGTAAAATGCGAGAACCCCAAACTTGCATTAATTTTAAATAGCGAGAAATCGAAAACAAAGCAAATATAAATGACAAGAAATCGAGATTGCAAGAAAAGTAAATGACAGGAAATTGAGATTTGCAGAATGTTAAATAACAGGAAATCTAAATGCAGAAACTCAAATTTTCATTGAATTGAAATGGACAAGGAATCGAAATACAGAATCATAAAACCGCTGAATTTAAGATGCATCAAAGTAAATTACCAAGGAAAATAAAGAAAGCGATAAATGTACTCCGTGAGCAGGAAAATCCAGACCGCCAGAAGCTTCATGGTGTTCGTCGTTTCTCCGTAGACTTTTCACTACCGGTTCCGTGCTCGCCAATTTTTGCTCCCTTGTTCCTTCCTCCTTTGCTCTATTTATAGGGCATCCTTCAAGCCTTCCGAGAGCAGTTAACACGACTGCTACCATGTTCTACGTGCGTATGACAGTTTTATCTTCTGTAGTTTCCCACGTTCTCACGATCTCCGACTTTTTCCCATGATTTCAAAGTTGCTCTTTATACGTGCATTCGTCTTCCTTTCACGATTTGGCCAAAGTCTCAATGTCCACGTTGGCTTTCTTTACTCTCGATTCGGTATTTTTCGAGAACTTTGAATTGCTTACAATTCCATTTTAACCCTGGTCTTATATGACTTAGTTTTTATTCGACAACAGTCATTTGATTATTATTCATTCGATTCTCGATTGTGCTCCTCGATGCTGTATGCTACGTATTTCTAATTAGACGTCGAATGAATCTTATCCAGTCGCATCTCTTTCCTTCGATTTTGATCACTTTCCTCGATTTGCCACTAACAAAATGCCCCCTTGGAAGAATATAAATGATTTCAGTTTATATTCTTTCAATATTCCCGCCTCAATGTTTGGAAACATACTGAACTTAGGGTTTAGGTTTTCTGGGGTTCTAGGGTTAGAAGGGTTTTAGGTTTTCCTTTCCGCTTTACGTCGCCATCATATCATCCGTTGCTTTTACAAGACGCTACATTTATTACTTTTCGTATCCGTCTGTTCCAACTCCCTAGGCAATTTTCTCTTTTAACCTTTCTCTTGGTCTTTGTTCGGTTTTTACGCGAACTTTTATCCCCTTTTGCAATCTTGTCTTCTTCCCTAAGCTCTTGCCCTCGTCCCCTGTTTCTTTACCTGTCAACTTCCTTACTACTTCTCTAATCTTATTATAATGGCCTCTTCATCCAAGTCATCTCGATTTCTGGCTCCTCCTCTTACCTCATCTACCTCTACCTTGCTCGGAGATTAACAACCAACAGCTTGCTCCCTTGCCTCTCGATGGAGGAGGCCTCTAAAAGGATTGTTGAAACTCGGGTATTAGTTCCTTACAATGTTGGTGGGGTAGGTTTTGGTTTTGGGGGCCCCATTCTTTCCGGTAGTGGAACCGTTTCTCCCCTCACCCTCTCAAGCGGCCCCTGCTCTCGTTCATCGACCCGAAGTTAGGATCGATTTTTTGAATTTTGTTTCCAAGGTGTATAGGACGGACCCTCCCTCCAAAAAATCTTTGTTCACTAGATGGTTTGATAGGGTCAAGGCTAAGTTCGGGAACCATTGGAGGAACGTGGAAATTTTTGATTTTCTACACTTGTCTCAATGTGACTTATCCTACCTCGACATGGCTATGTTCCCGGCTGCCGTGCACTTATGGAATAAAGAGATACATGCATTGGAATTACCTTGCGGCCCCCTCTCACCTACTCTTCTCGATGTCGCAGCCATCACCGGGTTAAAACCTATAGGGGAGAGATACTTTCGTGGTGCATGTCCCTCGGATAATTCGTTGAAGTCTAAAATCGATTGGGAATCGAAGGCCTACGGGCATTTCATTGAGAAACATTTCGTTGATGATCCCTCAATAGATGTTACCGATGAAGAACATGTAGCGTTTTTGGTGTATCGGCTGTGCACCCATGTGTTTTGCCCCCGATCGATCCAAATTTCCCCTATCTCTTTAACCTTGCGTACCTCCTTCACTTAGGTCAACCTCGCCTATGTTTGGCCAAGCTTTTGTTAAGCACATGTATATACCGCTTCGACGAGGCTATCGAAATCTTAAGTACTCCTAAGGCATCGGGGAATTTTTCCGGCCCTGTTTGGTTCATACAGCCTATGGTTAACATCCATTTTTGAAAGCATCCTTCCTCGATATTCTACTCGTCCCCCGAGTGTGAATATAGAAGGGGCTCGATTATCCTCCCGCCACCCTCGCCATAAATCCGACGAAGCCACATATCGTAAATACCTCCAATTTTTGTTAACCAGATTTGTTTTCGATTCAACCCTG